CACCTTTAAGTGTCTACTTCCACATCTATCAAAGTCCTGATTCCCCCATTTGATTGCCACCTCTACTTGAAGCACTCCGTTGTGATCGCACGAAGTGCGCTTTGACATTGAAGCGTGCTTTTCCGCACTTTCTGCCTTATTAGCGCATTTAGGCGCCTTTAGCTAGCACTCTTCACTTTTGGGTGCATTACTTGCCTCAGTGTCCCATTCAGGCTTCGAGACTGAACCACTGGTTATAGATCTCCCTCACCTTTCACTAGAGGAATCTTTCTCAGTAGCAATCCCCTTGGGATGACTTTCCACTCGTATCCAGAAGAGCATTTGAAAGCCCACTTCCCACTCTTCCCCCTAGCATGCAGCTATCATTCCTCGCCCTCAGCGCTGTCATTTACCTCGGCCTCCCTCAATGGGCTGTGAGCTCTCAGTGGATAGGACCACTGCACCCTCCCTCTTCTGATGCTTTGTGGAGACTGTCTTGAGATGTGTGTTGCTCTTCATGGACTTGCGTTTGGAAGCCTTCATTGTTACTGGTAACACCTCACCAACTGTGGCGGGTGGAGAAGGAGTGGCCATAATAGGTTCTGTGGTGAGAGGTTCAGGCACAACTGTAGATGGTTGCACAGAAGTAGGGATTTCTACTGGAGTTGGAGTGTGTGCAGGAGTAGGAGTTGCCATGGGAGCAGAGGCATTGTTGTGTGGAGCAGCGAAACTAAAGTCTGCCACATTGCGGGATGAGATATCATGAGTAGTTCTTGAGGTAGAAGTTAGAGGAGAGAATCCTGAAGAAGGAAACCAATCCATTCAAGAGGAAGTGGGTGAAGACTGTAGTGGAGAAAAGGGAGGTAATGGAGATGGCAGCTTGTAGTTGGGTGGCATCGGTAGGAGTGTACTATTGAAGTCTAGATCAATGTCGTCATCTTGAAGATAGGGGGGAGAAAATTGGAAGAAATTGTAAGCAAACTGTCCCAAAAGTGTGCCTGACAGTTCTGAGTGCAATGGGGATTGTTCTGACAGCATGAGTAATATATTGGGTGTGGAAGTGGATGCAGAAGAAACAGTAGCAAGTGATGTATCAGTTGTGATATCCATGGCAGAATGTGTGAGGGAGTTATGGGCTGGCAGGGTTACCCGCACCTGTGTGTCTGGCAGTGATGTATCATTCTGATCAGGCATGGTGGTTCCCTTTGATAATAATACTGCAGCATTGGCTACATCTTGATCAGCTTCAAACAGAGACGCCAACCATTAGACGACTCACAAAATGCTCGAGATGCAAACTCAAAGTAAGGCACCATGATACTCTCCTCAAATGTTGGATATGCTTGATTGAACTGATTGCCAGCAATGGTTGTCCCAATATGCAGGCTATTGACATTGAGCTTGCCAGCATTCATAGGGTCAGGACCAGCAAGTAAGACACTGAACATCCATCCTGTCGAATCGTACAACTCGGTGAAAAATGTCGACAGGATTTCTGTAAGTCTGCATATAACCCTGCCTGCCATCAGTGATGATGAAGTGAGATAGTCAGTGTCACTCACAACTCCTTTGGCAGCTCATTCTTGTCACGAATCACTTCTTTCTCTTTCTCCCTCTTTTCCTTCATCTCTTGGGCCAATTTTGTGACTTCCTCCTTCACCTCCACACTTTCATTCTCCCAGCAGGTTGCTAGTTGTTTATGAACAACCCGAATCACCTGCTTTTGGGTTCAGGTGCATCAAGTGCATTCTTCATGGCATTGAGTTCCTTCTTGACTGCAGGCTGCACATGCGATGTGTTCATATTTCTTGGTGTAAACCTCATTTGCATTGAGGGGGTGCAATTTCTTCTTACCTGACTTGATGGTGATGTCACCAATCAGATTGCTGATGATGGTATTCCCAGCGGTGTTTACCTGGTGGCCTATCTTCAAATTACCAAAGTCATTGTGTAGTTTGACCATCGAATGCTAGGTTCATACCTGATTCATCAGCAAACTATACAGAAGGGATCAAGCCATAGCGCTGTAGCCCTCTGTAGGAGCTGTATAAGGCCATTGTAGTTTTCTGATGTTAGCCAATATTCAAATACTGATTAGGATACAAATATTACCGTCTGAAGGGCATCCCTTGCCTTAGCTATCTGCTCAAGTCTCATGTTCTCATCTAGGGGCTCTGATGAGTCTTCCAGAGTGATTGGCAAATTTTCTTCCCACCTCTCAAAAAAGGGGGGCCAGAAATTGTTGTAGTTCCCTTTTTTTGCACTCAAGAAAACTCTCATGGTAGGTGAGCACAAAGGTCTGCTGCTCCTCCGAGAGCCAACTATGTGGTGCCATCTTAAATGACTACTTGTCAGTGCACTAACATTAAGATAATCTACACATACTTTTGCTGTTTGTCGTGTCATATGAGATGCCCTAGATAAAAGACAGACACAAAATGAAAAGGATCAGTCAGACACACACTAATTGCTTCAGCCACAGATGTGGCAAGTACTCCCAGAAATAGTTGTCCCATTGCACCATAACTAGACCAATAGAGACAATACATGATATCTTCACAGAAAGATTTGAGCATAGGCATGTTTCACACTGTTTGTTGTCACCAATCAATAGTCCCATAGACATAGATAGAAGTACATGGTGCTAGGTACACTAGATGGGGAACTTGTACTCCTGGTACCACAATTCACCCCCCATGAAGGCAACCACTAGTTCACTATCTCTGCCTTCTGCCAGATGCAACAAGATGTCTTCCACCATCCCTACCATTTCCCTCATGAACTTGCAGATGGCATCTGCAGCACGCCACTCATCACAAATACCACACATCTTAAGAATACCATCCAGTCCGCTGTTCGCTCTGTCGATAAAGTTTTCAAGACTTTCAATAGTGTGTTCAAAGACAGATTTGCCTCTGCACCTGGTAGGATATAAGTTGGGATCAGGCATAGTCTTGGAGTACTTGTCCATGAGAAGGTCAAAGAATCTTTGTGGAGCTTTGATATGCGCCATGAAGTCGTCCTTGGCATACTTGACTGTGGCAATGTAGTCTTGTAAAGTTTCACTGTTGCTAATGTCAGTTACATTGAGACATGTAAGTCAAAGCCGCACAACATTGGTTCATCTTCATCATCCAAAGGATCATTGACTGGACAAAGTTTTTTTTTTTGCGTAACTGACACCGCTTTGCTAGTATAGCCTCTCAACACCTGGAATTTTTCAATTAAGTCGACTCAAAGACACTGTTGGTGTATTGCTTACTTTAGATAGTGTCGTCTACGCTTGTCTCTGCAGCTTGTACTCTATCTCGATGAGTTTCATGAATAGTTGAGCATACCATAATGACGAGTAGTGAAAGTCAGGGAAGAATGCAGCATTTAATATGAAGCACTCACATTTGTTTGGACCAAAATAATAAGTCTTTGATTTGTCAATACGTGAGGATGGTTGGACCATAACACATGGTGCGTCCAAGAGAGACCCGCTGCCTCAATGAAATGTTAATATTAAGATACCTATGTGTATGAATCAGTATGATATGTATTGCAGCGAGCACTTACATTTGTTTGAACCAAAACTCTTTGATTGGTGAATGAAGCACCTGTGAGGATGTGTGAGGATGGTCAGACCATAATACAATCTTAAGACATTGTGACTGAGAGAGACCTGCTAGCTAGGTAGAATGTTAGTAGAAAGATTAACTGTGAGTGTGATATGTGTTACGGTAGTGCTGCCTCGTGAGAAATATCATTCTGGACTTACCTAGTGTTCGAATGCCCAAATCCCCCTAAGTTCTAGTAAAGTCAGTAACCAGATCCTTGAAAAAGGTTGAACCAATGATTGATCAACAGCAACTAATTGCGCAGATATTGTAACAAGATAGCTAAGCACACTGACTTGTAGAGTACTATGGTCCTTTGGTCCTTCACTGAGATCAATTCAGCTAAGATACAGGCTTGCAATGGCAAGAACAGTATGTTGTAGGATGCAGTAGGACCAAAACATAGAATTAAGCGTTATTAATAGCTAGCCTATGGCACATGGGCTATTTTTGAGTGGGTCACACAATCAGCGAATGGTCTGTGCTTCCAAAGAAGAATCAAAGTGTTCTGTTCAAATTTTCACTGTGCTCCTCTGCTCACTCAAACAAATATAACAGCTTGGTATTTGACAATTGCACAGTGTGTGACTACTAAGACTAGACTACCTGTGCCACCTCACCATGTTCTATGGTGTGCTTCACAATCCAAACACCATGCTCAAGAGAATTTGCCTTGCGATATATGGCATGTAAAACACCAAGCACCTTGGGACCAGTAGCATCCCTGTCCAAAAAGAATTAGTGAATGAAATGAACGGAGAACATCTAGACTTACCATCCTGAGAAGACCCCAATATAACAACCCCTCATTATGTAGTACAGTGGGGACTTGACTTCAATGGGCACATTGAAGTACGTGCCATTGTAATACTGAAGGGTGGAGTCATCAGCAAGAGACATAGCTGTATTAGCTATATCCTCATTATCAGATGAGTCTTCCCTGTCATCAAGACATGTCCTACAGCTGGGCCAAGGGCAGGAGCAGGAGCCACGGTAGTAGAAGTTGGGGAATGAGCTGCAATGATAGCAGGAAAATCATCTGGAGCAGATATAGAATCATCACTATGGGCCAATGGACCTGTAAGATTAGCAACAGGCCCTGTGGCATTGTTAAAGCAAAATTAATAATGATGAATCAAAGAAACAGGTGGATCCACCTTTGGCAACATTTGGACTAGTGCCAGCCTGCAACACAACTGATATTGCTGTCCTGTCGTCAAGACAAAGGCCCTGCAGCATGCTGATGAGGCCGTCCAGCCAAATGGACACCATAGTGTCCATCTGACTGGAGGGAGATGGGCTTTGAGTCATCTTAACAAGGCTGTATATTGAGCAGAGGAGGATGTGAACAGTGAATAATACATTACTCACCAGGACAGGTATTTATACAGCAAGTGCTGTCATAATTTTTGATCCTCAAGAACACATTGCAGCTACTAAGTTCATGGATATCAGAGGAGGAGTTTGATGACTCAGACAAAGCAGTGTGAGGAAAAGATTGGCTGACTAAGCTCATACATATCAACCATGATTCACTGTCATTAACATCATGATCATGATTGAAGCTCTGATTTCTGTTTTGGACACAGCTTACATGGTGTCTGCTGCAACAGGTAACCAGCTTGTTTCTACTCCAAGGACAGTGAGTTTTGTGCCCATTATCATTACATGGAGCATTTACCTCTCGAAGTATCATAGTTTGTGCCAGGGTATTATGCCCATAGCTTTAGTCGAAGCAGCTATAACATGTACAACTATGTCTATTCTGAGGCCAGTGAGTGTTTATTCTCCTTGCCATTACATGGAGTATTTACTTACTGCTTGAAGTATCATGATTCTCCAAGCTTCTTTTTGGCTTTGGAGACTTAGACACTGGCGCTGGTCGATGACTGTTGGACAGGTGTAATGTCACGGGGACGCTCAGCCAAGAGTTCCCGGGTTGATCAAACTCATTTCATACCCTCCACCACCAATACTCCACTGTTGCAGGTTTCACACAGGAGAAATCACTACTGAGGGTCACTACCCAACTATACACTCACTATGTTCCTGCTCCCTCTCTCTCCATTTTCGACTTCCTGGATGCTGGTTCTGATGCAGGCCCATTTTTTGGGGATGGTTGGGATGAATTATCCCTGGAACAAGAGGGACCACAAGAAATTGATTGCCAGCTATCATTTGACAAATGCAAATGCACTGCTGCAGTGAGTACTGCCACTTATGCTTGTTATTTTTACTCAATCATGCCTCAGGATACACCACTGTTAATGTGGATCCATGAGCATCAAGCATTTCTGGACAAAATGCTTTTGCTTAGAGGGTCGCGGAACTTCTGAAATTCTATGTTGCTGTGGTCTTGCTGCTCCTCATTTCAGATGTCGTGACTGCTTTGGCATACAAATGTTTTGCCACAAGTGCATCCTTGACAGCCACACAAGGGATCCTTTGCACAGGATTGATGTATGTAAATATTTTTATTGCTATATCAAAAACTGACAGTAGCCTATAAGATGTGGAACGACTCATTTTTCCAGCCTACCACTCTGAAAAAATTGGGCCTACACATACAGCTAGGTCACGCCCCAGGTGACATGGTGTTATAATCCTCATCCCTCCTCCGGTGATGACTTTGTTATCATTGATGTCCACAGTATCCATGAGATTGCCCTCAATTTTTGTGGGTGTGTGAGTGCTCAAATTTGCTACAAACAGCTACTCCACACATGCTGGTATCCAGCAACCACATCAGACCCTTGCACTGCTGCGACATTCGCTCTAATGGAACACTTTCCACCTTCTGTCATTCAAGAGCAAAGTGTCTGCCTACAAATTTTACCACTCACTGGCAAGATGGAACAATAATGCTGGCCTGTTGGATATAAAGGTATGTATCCAGAAGATATGATGACTACAGGATACTGACATGAGACATTAGGATCACTACTCTGCATTCATGCACATGGTCCGTGAGTGGCGCCATCTCAGGCAACTTCGGTGTGCAGGGAGAGGAAATGATCCTAATGGCATTCATGCCATCACCGCGGGTGAATTGGCTGTGCAGTGCCCAGCATGTCCCCACCCTGGCAAAAATATACCACAAGGCTGGGAGGATGAGCCACCATGGGTTAGGTCAGTCTCAATTGCTGATTACAGCAGTGTCTTCAGGCTGATGACCTATTTTTTATCCAGGTGGAAATATGCACTGTTTATTGTGATTGATGCCAACTTCAGATTGAAATGCAAGGCAGTGTCGTCAGACAATGTAGACCCTAGCCTCAACTCTGGGTGGGCATATTTCCTTGAGGAGGCTGCCTACAATGCATACCTGGCCCATCAAGCTGGCGTCAAGCAAGATGTAAGTACATGGCCATACTATTTTGTGATGTGACTCATCTGACTAGTAGTATACAGTGTAGTACATGTGTCAGTCACAATATCATCAATCTGACAGATACGAAGTCCTCATATGGTCTGGCCACCACAGGTGTTTGTTACAGTAGACTGTGCCAGGCATGACATGAAGCTCGCCAATGGTGTCAGGAGATTTACAGAAGGGTGAAAAGTGCATTGTACTTTCATCTTATATCATGCACATACTAATTGATTGATTTGCCATATATAGATATATAAACATGGACTACCTTGTGTTCTCAGCGCTGTTGGCCTTCACGGTGTGACAATCATATTGGTGCTAGGCATGTATACCTGCATAAGCCTTCAATAGGTGGACCAAAGTTAACCCTCATATTATTCACTACTCCCCTATCAGCAGTCTTCACTTGTCTCAGCCATAACCCTTGTTCAACGCTATTCTGCACTTTCCCGCACTATGCGCTGCACATTCCTGCAGCGCTATTCATGCTCCCACGACTTATCCGACGCTATTCCCGCACTTATAGCACTATCAGAACTACCAGCAAAGTGTCTATAGGAGCATTAGTGCATGTCCGCTCTACCTAGTGCTTGTCCACTCTATCTAGCGCTTGTTCCTGCGCCTAGCGCTTGTCCAGCGCGCTGTTCTCGCGCTCTAGGATCCACCCAAAATGTCGGAATCTATCCATTGTCCATCCTACCTCATTGGTATGTAATTTGCCTTGCCTCGAGTTTGTAACAAGTGCTACAGTCTTATTACATGTATATCCTATCCCTTCCGAGTCCAAGATGGTATAGTTTACTAGTATAAGAAGCCTATGGTGATTACTTTGACATTACTTCCCTTCAACTGTATTTCCTTTCCCTTAGGTTTTACTTAGAAGTAGTCACCCCTTTAGTTGCGCTCTATGGCCCCTATTTGACTTTCCTTACCCTTGCAATCAATACCTTTGATCTCACTCGCTATCCATTACCCTCCTTTGACTTAGAGTCCACTTTCTTGACTTCCGCTCTTTCCCGCACATTAGCACTCTATCTTGTGACGCGCTATTCCCACGCTTTAGCGCTCTTTCAGGTCTTTCGATCTTGAGTTGTCCTTAGTAGCTTTTCCCTCTGGTCGAACATTCTTGCTTTATTGTTTGCAAGTATAGCAGCATAGGCAGAGCATTAGACATATACTGGCTGAGTACCTTAACAAGTGCCTAGTCAGGTTGTGTTTTTCACAACAGTCACCATGGTCAACATCTCATATGACATTGCCTGTCAATGGCATAAGAAGCTCTGGGCATGTATGGAAGGCATGCCATCAAGGTTTCACATCCCTCGTGACTCGATGACCATCCAATTTTTTGTGCCAAAGTTTCATCTGAAGGTGCACATTGATGAATGTCAGAGAAACTTCTCATTCAATTGGTCAAAACATGTGGGACAAACAGATGGCAAGGCTCCTGAGCGTGGTTGGTCGAATATAAACCAGGTCGCGATAAGCACAAAGGAGATGGGTCCAGGATCATGTTTAGATACCCTCAATGATCATTTCAGGGATTGGAACTGGAAGAAGGTTACGGCACTGGGTCTGTTTTTTTTCTCTGGTGGAATATCTTGTGCTTATCTGAGAATAGGCCGTACACTCTTGTGCAAGATCTGCAACACCATTAAGTGGAAGAAGGAGCATGAGGAAGGACTAGCAGAGCTAGAGAGGACCATTCAGCCAATGTTCGTCCTTCAGTGGAGGAAAGAAGTTGAAGCTTGGGAGGAAGACAACTCTCAACCTAATCCGTTCAAGAGCCACTATGCTCGTGACTAATGCTATCTTTTAGAGTTCAGCGAATTAATGTCTGGCAGCCATTACACAAGCTGCAGTTCATCTACAGCTTGCTGAGCTTGAAGCCCATAAACTTCAGGCAGGGATAAATGTCTCCCTGCATACTGGCCTTTCCCCAAGCAAGATTAATCACCACTGGCATCGATCTTCAAGACCAACAGTGAGTTTCTTTGTTCAAAAAATCAAGTTCGCCACAATAAAAAGATCCCAACAAGACAGCACCTGAAGACGGATATCACCAATGCATCTCTTCACCCCATGGACAAGCAGAAGACTACCATGCAGACTTGTGTCACCACCCTTCACCGTCAACTGGATGCCTGGGCTTGTGTCCAAGAACTATATATGCCCATTGTGTCCCAGCTTCATCATCGATCTTCAGAAGCTGGCATGACAAATACGGTACAGCTAAAGCCTGAGGCATTCAAGCTTTGGCTCCCATCTGAACTCCAACCAACAGCAGGATGTGACAACAGGCTGGCTGCACACAAATGGGATCTACAGCATGCACAAGCACTGGATGCCCTTAACAAAATCTGTTCACATCTCCACCTCCAGTCTCACATGTATATCTACAAAGATAGAAATGTGCATGGACAGGCCGCTTCTACCCGTGCACAGGCCCTCATCAAAGGCTTGGAGCTGAGTAAATGTGCTAGTTTTGACAAGTATTGACGTGCGCTGAGGGCGAGGAATGATAAATGGATACTAGGGGGGGTAGTGTGTAGTGAGGCTCTCAAGTGCTCCTCTGGAAGTGAGCAACAGTCATCCCAAGGGGATTGCTACTGAGAATAGATTCCTCTAATATAAGTGAGGGAGATCCAAGACTAGAACTTCAGTCTAGAAAGCCTAAGTAGAGCGCTAAAGCCTAAATGCACTGAAAAGAGTATAAACTGCGCAAAGCGCTTCAAATGCACTGAAGATGTGGCCGACAAATATAAGGTGCGCGCTGATAATTTCAAGTGCGGATAAGAAAACTCGAGTGGATTCAAATAATAACTGGGGCTATGGACTGCGATGCTCGTGGAATGGAAGTAAGTATCAAAAAGTAATTCTAACACGTAAGTACTGCTAAGCGCTTTCCCATGGCACGGAGCCGAGCAAGCGAGTACATACGGTATGTAACAGCACGTAAGTAAGGCTCCATAACGTGAATAGTGTCGTACAATGCAGAGATATTGTCAGCGTGACTCAAACAAAGGAAACACGCACCAATGGACCGGGGAGGACATGGATAGGATGTGCGGAGGACAGGCGATGGGATCCAGTGCGCGAGCATGAGCGGCCACAAGCACTTGTAGTGCAGTGCGCCTATAAGGCGTGGGCCTTCTATCTATGAGAGGGTGCCTATAGTGGAAGAGGGAAAATGCTAGATATGCGCCTGTAGGGGCACAAGCCTCTACAGCGCGTAATGTGCTGTTAGCTCTCAGCCACCGACTCAATAGGTCTGGCTGGGACACATCCCTTCCACCACTCCTGGACTCACAAGTGAGGCCTGTGGGCAATATGGAGAGACAAGGCACCGATACTATTTCCTGGATCTGGCTGGACTCACATGTGGACAATAGCAGCTCAGAAAATGAGCGAGTTCAGGATTGTAAGTCTGCTAGCTCTAGTTTGATATGGTATACTGACTACATCTGATAGCTGTTCGAGTTGAGTGGTGCAAAGCACACACACACACAAACCGCTGGTTGGAGGAAGTTGAACTCCTCCTCGAGGAGATGCAAAGAGTTATCGTGTTCTTGAGGTGGCAGGTGGAGTGGTGGAGTGAAAGGCGTAGTTCTCAAGCCCCAGAGTTGACAGCAGAACAGGAAGGACTGGCTGTGTATGCATGTCAACAGGCTGCGCTGCATCTGTCTCTCATGGCCTCCTTTCAGGACCTATGGAAAGATGTACTGATGTTCATAAGTGCTGCCATGGACATTCCACTGGACAGCAACAGTGAGGATGAACCTACCATCGACACACGGCCTCAGTTGCACAGTTGATACATCACCCATGTACAGACATTAATATATATATCTTGCACTCAACCGTCCAAACATAGCTTGATCGCGAGGAACAAGATCAGGATTAGAGTTTAAAAGTCCGGTTAAGTCCAGTCTTTTGCCTTATTTGGAGGCAACCGGACCAGGACCGGTTGCCTGATTCCCACGATATCAAAAAGACCAGACCAGGACTGATAAAGACCGATATTTTGGTCTTTTTCGGTCCTGCAACCGGTTTTGAACCAGTTGCAACCTCAATAAGTCCAATAATAGTGTAGTACCATTCAGGACCTTTCCAACAGTGGTCTGATCATGTAAAACGGTTAAGATTTGAGAGAGATATGAGCATTTTAAAAATACACCACCCTAGAGCACAAGACAAATATGAAATGTGTTGTGATTGCTTAAGTGGCTTAACAAAAGTTGTGCTTGAAGTCTAGACAAGTCTAGGACTGGTCTTATCTTTTCAATAGGTTCACACATAAGCAAGGTATAAGCTTAACAAAAATCATTATCAGGCTTGTCTTCCAAATATGAAAAATATGAAAGTCATTATAAGGCTTAGGTATCCCAACACTAATTGTAGTCCTAGTCTAAATGACTCTATTGCTAGTCTTATCTTGTCAAACATTCAAGGTTTGGGCAAGTTATAAGCCAATCTTTAATTTTTATGCCAACATCCTTCAATTTTGCGAGCCTTTCTTGTAATACTCATATCTTTTTCAGATCTTAACCGTTTGACATGACCAAACCACCGTTGGAATCGCCTGATTGAGTACTATGACCCTAACCCTAACCCTAATACCGGTTGCAACCGGTTTTTATCGGTTTTCAAATTTTCATAAAGGTAGGCAACCTGCAACTGGACTTTTCTGAAACCAGGCAACCGCAACTGAAGTCCAGTCTTTTAAAGTCCAGTTTTGGTCCAGTTGCCAGTCTTTTTTCAGTCCAGCAACTGGACTTTAAAACACTAATCTGGATCGCAAGGTACTGACTACATAGAGATCTCTAAGATTGAGAATGTCAGGTACCAACAACATATGAGATCTGTAGGATTGAGAATGCCGAGAATGGCCTTGGATCATGTTCTATGCTCAGCCTATTAAGGGATTATACAGCCCAGTACATTGATGTATCAGCGGTCCTACAGCTCAGAGCGATTGGTGTATCACCCTTTATTACAGGTACAAGTACTTGATACATTACTCCCATGTGCATGGTGGGGCTAGAGCTGATGCAAAAAGACTAAGCTAAAGTAGCTGAAGCTTAGGAATGACTAGGCTGTGAGGTGGGCAGAAGCAAGAGATGCTGCACCACCTCACTTATTTGTGGGTAGACTAATTCCTACACCTGCCTTGTGCCTCACTGGCCAGCTTAGCTCACCACCTTGGTCATCATCGAATCAATGAACTCAGCCAAGTGGCATATGTCCATTGTCTTTCTCCTTAGAAACGGAAAGATTAAAAACACCTAGACTTGTGAGAGTTAGTGTGTATTTAAGCTGGCAACCATCTCCGCGTTATGACCAAGACTTGCGGGAGTAAATATAGATCCACTTGAATGTGCATTTAGCTCCATCAAACATTACCGGAGCTCGAGCGGAAGTTCTGCTACCTGTCACTGGTAGGACTATTGAACAAGAGTGAAAGCTCCCGTTCAACATGCAGTGACTTACTAGTCGCACTAGTACTGCACATTAGTCGTCAGAACTTCCGTCAGACTCGGACAGACAACGAGTTGAGAAAGCAAGTTGATGAAGGCGTACTAGTCTAAGCCTGAGGGAAAGACCCAACTGTGAACCGATAAGAAATGGTAACGTTATCACGAGACAGTGACAGGAAATGGAAACATAGCGAAATGCCAACAACGGGAGCAGACATAGGACATAGATGGATCATACAGGCATTGTCCCAGTCGATACTGACTGTACTCAACGAGATTCATGACTGCTGACAAGATAAAAGTACATGGTTGTTAGAAATATCTCAGAACGAAGCAATCATGATAATCTACATATCCGTGGAGTTTGGCTGATGTTGACTGATGTGCTTATCATTGTGAGAGAGTTGTCATCAAATCCTTGTTCCTTGGGATGAACCTGCACTTGAATGGTTTAGGGTTCCTTTGGGTGTGTAAGAATGCGTTTCAGGCTCAGAGGGTCGAGTTACCAGAGTACACCAGCATTCTCGAACTCTGCAGGAGGTGTGATCTCCTCTCCTCTCTCATCGAGCGGTTTGTCGATCGTGAACACAGCAAGGATGCAAGCGATATTGAGGTACAAGGAGGCTTGGGCAAAATACAGCCCTGAAATAAGATGCGGTCGTTAGTTTCGGCCGAGATAGTGTCATGTAAATAATAGGCACCAGGGCATGCACGGCGCCCAAACCCAAAGATGAACTTGCGTGGGTCCAATTGTGGCGAGGGACCAAGGAAACGCTCAGGCCTGAACTCCAATGGGTCGGGATACATGTCTTTATCACGTGACATGGCAAGAATGTTCGCGATGATGGTTGCACCCTTGGGGATGCGGTACCCTTTGTAGACGTCTTCCCTCATGGCGTGGTGCGGGAGCCCTGCGTCGCTGAGAGTGAGCGGGAACCAGGACAAGAAAGCCATGTGGCTGACCTTGCGGAGCCACGGGTGCCCAGCGGAGGAGCTCTTGGATGAGTGCTCCGATGTACGGAAGCTTGTCTCTGTCCTTGAACGTGGGAAATCGGTCCTGACCTACGATGGCATCGATCTCTGCCTGAGCATGCTTCTGCACCTCGGGATAAAGCACCATCGCCAGGATAAAAGATGTCAAGGATGATGATGTCTACTCATGCCAATGATTGTTTCAAAATTCACATAAGGGAAAGTGCAAATGATATCTTACGGTGTCTACTCCCCCTGCATAGATCCCCTGACTGCACCACTTGGTGATCTCTTCTTGTTGGGCGCTGACCGTGGACCCATCCTCTGGAAGGAGCTGTTCTGAAACGAAGGAATGCGTGTAGCTGCCGCTGTGCTAATCGGCGATGAAAATTGGTTAGGATTCCGGATCATAGGAACTCGCAAGACTGCTTCGCAAGGCTTACTATTTGCTGTTTGGACCACTTGAATGGCAATGTGTCGACCCTACTTAACTTGTGCCCGAGGTCAAATGCTACACGCTTGAAACCCGCCCCTGGAAACCATGAAGGTAGGAAACGCACTCATGGAAGGTCGACTAGCTGAGTTTTATGATACCTGGAAAGTGAAAGAGGGCCTACATGATGGTATCGCTTCGACCAACCAACGTCCAGGCTGGGATAGTATGGCTGGGATTTCTGTGCCTTCTTTCAGGATACCGATGAAATAATCGTCATTGTCGGTAACCTTCCAACCATATGCGAGATAAAGGACAACGGCCGCTGAATTCCTACACCTCGGATGAGAAACGAGCAAAACAAGCAATCGCAAGAATTTTACCTTTTGATCTGATCGGCGAAATGTTCAGGGCTCTTGTGCAGACCATCAAGCAGGACACGAGATTGTTCGGTTTGCAGCGACTGGTAGCTTTGTATAGTGCGGGGACTCAGACTGGCTTTGAGGGCCGTGCGATAAGTCTTGAAATACGGGTGAGTGAAAGATATGTGGAACGGGGTCAGGTTGCGCTTCGCAAGTTCTGTGTACATCCATATTCTTGGACGATCAGAATATGTAGTGGCGCGTGAATCGAGCAATTCAGTAGCCGATTGTAGGGAGCTGAGGACTATGAACTGCCGGTTAGGCACGCGGAAGGAGAATATGGGGCCTACGAGACATTGGTCAGGAATGTCATAACAAGCGAAAAATTGGACAATGTGCACCATAGCTTTCAGCCCACGTGGCATACATCAGCCAAGGCTCTTTCTTTGGCAGTTGATGAGCATTTCCGGTAAAGAACTTTGGAGATGGCCCAGGGGGGTAGTGGTAATCTACTGTGTCGACGACTGTAGAAGAAAACTGTGGCCAGTGCAGCCACGAAGAGGATGAGTATATCAGAAGACATGTGACAGATTGAACAGGTGGGTCGGCTTTTTTACGGGTTGCGCTCTGATCATGAGTTCTTATATCATCATTGTCCTAAGTAGATGATATAAGTTATGACTCGGAGCTGTCACCGGATAGTTTCGCAGTGCGACTTACGCTCTCGAAACACCGCGTCATGGGCGCGGGAAGCCCCCCTTGGGTAAGACGTGACTCGGAGATAAGTCACGGCGCGTTTAATTGAATTGAAACTCACGTGTCCTTTACTTATGAGTAGGTGCTACGGGGAAACCCCATGGATGTATACCCGGAGTCCTCCGAGTCCAGGCAATTTGGGAATTGGAGAAACTTCTGTTCCTAAAACGTCTGGCTGCTGGCGTTGAGATAGAGGCAAACTTTCAGGCGGCTTAGTCAGCTGAAGCAGTCAGTGCTAGCGACACCACTGGATCTACACCGAGAAGAAGTTAGGACTCAGAGCAGTACAGAACTTTCGGTTCCGTCGCAGAGGTAGGGACGGCACGCGTGGGATCAAACTCAGGGTCCCCGACTCTGTCAAAAAGTTTTTATTTCCTTGACAAGTTGTTACTTTGTTGCAACGTCCCCGACTTGGAGGAGAGACCTGGTCATACCGCCACGTCTATCTCCACCTCCCACGGGGATCACTAATGTCAACCTTAACTTTATCTCTGGGCCCTACTCTTACGTCATAAAGCTTCCCACCCCTTCCACCTACCTTCTCTCGTTACACTCTTCGGCGACCTTTCCTGCCGGTCCCTCGCCTCGTCAATGTCGCCTCAGCAAGTCTTCTCTCAGGCTATTGCAAAGGGAAATTCAGAAGGGCCGACTGTCTTTCTTCTAATCGTCTGACTAGGGAGACTAGCTATAATCCTTAGGAGATGTAACACATGCGAGAAGCGGTAGGCCAACATTAGCATCTACCGCCTTGCACCACGCGTTTTTTTGTTAAAAGATCATATCTATTGTCCTTTAGGGTCAGTGTCACTGGGGATTGTTCCTGGCTTTCTATTGTAGCTCGTTAATCGCTACGACTATTAGCTAACTTCGTCAAAACAATTACCATATCAATTCCTTACAAACCATGCAAGATATGTGGCATCGACACGATTGGTATAGCAAGAGCCACAGGAAAACAGGATTTACATAGAGCATGCTGGAGCGGTGTGTCCGCGACTGTGCCTGCATGCCGCGAGCAAGGCAAGAAGTGGTGAAGAGCACTACGCTACGACAAAGCCCGAAGGACGCCCAGCGGCTCGCTAAACTACGGTGCTACTCGGCTGCTACCCCCCGGGGTCCCCTACTCCAATGCCATACATAAATCAGGAAACGGGCGATGTCAGAACGCTGATGGCCGATGCATGAATTGACTACGTCCATTCCAGATGTAAAGAAACCCACCTTTGTAGCACAACCAATTCCAGAAAAAATTCCAGCATTCATGCGCTTTGACGCTCTTGGTATTCCGTTCCGGATGGACAATCCTTGAATCAACGCTCTCCCAGTCCTTTCTATCGATGTGGCCTTGTTCATGTCCTGGTCGTCTGGCTTGCCCAGAGGGCTGTGCGGAGTCACTCCTCGGTAATTATGCCTAATGTCACAGACGCCTGAGCCGAGCCTTCCTGAGTCGATGCCGACTGCGAATGGGGATTTAAGTACCCTGATACCACTAGAAGACTGAGCCGTCGTTGTCCGACGTGTACGTGAAACTACAGTCCTCCGGGAACTTCCTGAGATACGTTATTGAGACTGAACGTACCCTTTTAGCTTGTGCATGTTGAGTCAACGCTGCTCTGTGGCCTTGGGGGTGACGAATGCGTGTCCAAATGTTACCAAGATTGAATACACCGTTCCAGACTGGCAGTTCTTGAGGACGTCTGCTGAGCTTCCCTTACAGTGGACTTTGCCTTGGGAGACCGAGGATGACGAATCCGTTTCCATATTTTTGGGAAGAGGTAGGATACGTCGCGCTCCCGACCGGTGATCCTTGGGGAGGCCTACTGGTGAACAGAGCCTGATGAGGGTCCAGGTCCAAATCGTATCTAACAAATCAATTTTAGCATATACCTGAGTTCGAATCTGGGACGTCTTACAAGGCGACCATTTGCATTGCCAGAGGGATGTGGTGGCTGATCGAAAAACGCCGAGTTGAGTCCCAGCGAATGTTGTTTTCCTTTGGCTCTTGGAGCAATTGTTGCATACCATGAGTTTAGTATCCTAACACAAACCTAGATCTCACATCAAGGGGGCTGCAACCAAGAACCTAGTTCGCTTCGCTAGTAGTCGGGATTGATCGTGTAGTGTAAGTTTCTCTTCCACTGAATGAATAACCAGCCTACAAGAGCCATCCTTCAAATCCGAGGACACGCTCGAGGCCGCAAAAAACTTGCCATCTGGTGAAGTGCAAATGGATGGGCATTGGAGGTAGTGAATTCGTGACTCTTCAAATCATAGAAATGTGTGGGGTGATCGATGTTGCCGTCAATTTCCAGCGTCAAAGCTTGCCATCTGGAGAAGCAGCCATGGTAAAAGGGCCATCATCTTCGTCAAGGCGCATCGTCATGCTTCCCTGTATTCGTTGCTGACCCTCCAAGTTTATGGAGGACGTCAGGATTCATCTTGGTTGCTGGAGCGGGGGATTGTATCGATGTGGAGGTGGTAGCGTCTGGGGCTGTGCCTTTGCAAGTGGAGGCAACTTGAAGTTGGAGTAGTAAAGGATACATTTGAAGGAACGGAGGTCACGGGAGGTGCTCGTGTGCTGTAGGCTCGAGTCTCGACGTTGGTAGTCATTTTGAACCGAAGTTCTCACTGAAGACATTTTGCCTGCTGAAGCCAAATTTCTGGAAGTTCATATGAGATTCGGTGTTACCGAGAAGCTAAGTAGTAGGAGTTCAGCAGGAGTCGGATTGAGTAATGGGCACCTGTGCGCGCTTCATCTGACCACCAACCATTCTGAACCAATGATTCCTAGAGCTGTTCTCATTCAAATAAAGAATTCTCCTTCAGTTCTGTGCTTTCGGAACGTCGACATCTGCATCAATTTTCAAGGGCGCAACCACGTCTCTGATGAAATTAGTTTTCAGCATGTGCTCTCACGAATTAGTAGCGACATTTAAATTTCACCCAGTCTGCTTTTCAGCATATCATTGAGTCGGACAACAGGCTCGGTGCTAGGTATAAAACTGGCAAGGAATCAAAGAATTAAACGGTGGACCAGGGGTCCCAAGGGCAGGAGCTACGCATGGCCCTGCTCCAACGGTACGCTCGATATTGCAGCAATAAAATCATCGTTACGGGGAGCTAGAAGGATTGATATTAGCAACTGCGAAGACGGATGGTAAAGATTAAGAACTCACGCATCTCGGCAACTCGACCAGTGTGTCCCATGTGACATGCGTCTCAAATCAAGCTCAGGATATCCTCTGGGTATCACCAATGAAGTCCAAGGAGTATAAAATGCATGTCGGGAAGCGGGAGGTACCCAGAAAAGGAGCTGATAATTGGGTCCCATAATCCACCCATCAGCCTGCAGTAAGAAAGGAGTTGAATTAGAATTATGATGAGAGGTGGGTTCGAGTAAGTCAACGGGGTTGGGCAGGGCGTGTTCCAGACTGGACGAGAAGTAAATGAGGTGATCGTTACAAGTGTTGGTTGGCATGATACAGCTTTCGTGGGTGGAAGGTGTGGTGCCTCAATGCAGCGCAAATGCGGAGGAATATGGCTCTCTGGACTCGGGGGATGGCTGCACTTTCATTGCACTCAACAGACTGGACGGTCTTATCAGATGAACCAGACGCGATGCGAGTACCATCCGGTGAGAACGAGACTGACCAAACGAATTCAGTGTGCCCCTCCAAGGGCTCACCCAATGGCTGTCCCGTCACTGCATCCCACAGCCGCACAGTCTTATCCCCTGAACCAGACGCGATGCGAGTACCATCCGGTGAGAACGAGATCGACCAAACATCTGCAGTGTGCCCCCGCAAGGGCTCACCCAATGGCTGTCCTGTCGCTGCACTCCACAGGCGGACGGTCTTATCAGATGAACCAGACGCGATGCGAGTACCATCCGGTGAGAACGAGACTGAGCAAACCTCTTCAGTGTGCCCCTGCAAGGGCTCACCCAATGGCTGTCCCGTTGCCGCATCCCACAGCCGCACAGTCTTATCCAAAGAACCAGACGCGATGCGAGTACCATCTGGTGAGAACGCGACTGACAGGACCTGCTCAGTATGCCCGCTGATCACGATCTGAGCTGCCGTCCAGTTCAAATGACGTCCGGATGCCAGACGAAGGGTGTTCGGAAACTTTGCCATAAATTTGGTAGCCATGGTGGACTTGACAGGTGAGAATGGCAGCGCTGATAAATACAGATGCGGCGTGCTGTGCAAAATCATGCTCCCAAAGACCTGAATGAACCTTTGCACATCCATTGTGGTGGACCGCAAATCATCGTGTCCAGAATGGCCCTGTATTTATTTATCAGCTGTTCATCCGACACTGCCTGGTAGGCATGTGCTCACCTTCAACCACTTGGCAACGAGTGGAAGCACTGTTATTGCGCTCCTGGTTCCGTTGAGAAGGCCGAGTGCTTCAACCCAGAAGAGTAGTCGCTCATCGTCGAAGAATGATTTTATTGTGTTGGCGAGCTCTGAGTTGAAATTTGATGCTGATACGTGGGAAGCCCAAAATCGACAGGAATAGGACAGATGCGGAGGAATTGATGTTTTGACTCGTTGAGGCAGCTCGGTGTCTTAGGGAGGTACGACGACTTTAAATCACAGATATTGAAACGAAGGTCATGTTCCATCACTCGTAGCGACGCAATTGCAAGGTCGCGTTGTTGTTCCCTCGTTCTCTCGACGAAGAAGTCTCCCCTGGATGATTCGTCCCTCAGGAATTCTTGGAAGGTCGCATGAAGGGGTCGGATGGGGGTATGTGAATCGGTAGTGCCACTAAGGAGGGCTCCCATGTGTTTTATCATTATATCTACTTCGTAATGGTCGTGGTCCTCCGGGAAATAGTGTCGCATAACTTGCAGTGAAACTAAAGGGAGCGGTTCGGCTGTGGCAAGTATTTGTCCCATCACGGAACGAAATCTCGCTATTACTTGCTGGTACTGGGCTTTTGTATACTGATCCTTTGGCGCAACTTCTTCTAACATGAGCCGATACATATCATACAACAAGTTTTTCCGCTCCCCAGGACCGCGGTTCATGACAGCATTGAAGCACTCCATTGGGGATAAACCGAAATAGGGTTCTTTGATGTATCCGCACGCGAGACGCACCCACTCGAAGAGTCCGTCGGATTTCGTAGCCAGGTCTGCAAGATGTATGTCCCGAAATTCTGATAGCTCTTTCAGCTCCTCAGATACGAAGGCGTGAATGTCGCGTTTCACGACTTCTGGTGGAATATCGTCCATGGACAACCGTAGAATATGATCAACACCTTCAAACTCCTTTTCGATATCATGAAGTGGGCGAGAGGTGACGAGAATCCGAAAGTTGGAAGGGAGTTCCGTTATTTGAGGAAGTCCTTTGTCCTGAAGTTTACCGGAAAGTATGCGGAGGAGGTTACGCCGCGTTTCCAGTCCACCACTCTCATCTAGTGCCTCAATCACGATCAAGACAGGCCCTACACTTGACGCAGATAACTTCTTTAGCGGTTCCATGAGAAGCCCACGCCACTGCTGGATAATGTCCGTCGTATTCTTGAGCGAGTTCGCATCTTTGACTGCATCCGCTAACGCTCGTTTCATCCCAGGATCACGGTCAGCAAGGTCGAGTGCGATGGTGGAGAGAATCTTTTCATGGCGAAGGTCTGCTTCTCTGTGCCGATCGAAACAAAAACATGAACCAAGGCCTCCCGCTTCTTTGAACCAGTTGGCAATCGTGTGGGCGATGGCCGATTTGCCCTTGCCTGCAGGGCCGGATAGCCACATTACACGCGGAACAGAATCTCCACTGCTGTTGATCCACTTGGTGATTTGGGAGAGAATTTCCGTGCGAGTGCCTGACAGACATTGCTTCTCAGTAAGTATTCCCGCGCCCCTTGCATAAACTATGCCACTGAGATCGAGTGTTTCACCTTTAAGGGTATGAGTACATATAAAATCAGAGGCACGTATAAATCCTTACCCGCAAACTGGACAAAGACAGCTACATCCCGACTAGCTTGATCCCGAAATTGTTGCATAAGGCCATCCAAGGCGTCGTTATACTGTATGATCATATCATCCGTTTCCGCGACGATGTTTTTACCGGCTCTCTTCCCTATGATCATGGTAAGTATATGATTCATGTGCATAATACAACAGCCGGACGACTCACAGAAGCTCTTCGTCTCCGAGTAATCCCTGATGAAACGGGCACACTCGAGAGTCTGCTGAGCGATCTTTCCAACAATACCGCGCATCGATCCAATTTTGCCAAGGCTGTCATCTTGAGTCATGAAGCGGTAAACTTCAGCCAATTTCTTGAGAAGACCGTGGATCGATTTATCTCGCTCTGCTTGAGTGATTATAATCTACAAGGGATTGTGACCTCTGAGCGGGAGGCAGATCTCTGGGCAACATGAACGCACTTTGGATGCAACAGACAGCACACCCAACGCTATCTTCGCGTATGGATGTACCTATAACTTGATTAGTTTGTTATCAATCAAGGAGAGCAGCCCATACATTTGCGATGTTCTCGATGACAGTGTTGAAAATTTTGAGGGGTTGGAGGTATGTGGTCTGGAAATCATCCGCGGCGGCGAGATCCGCTGGGGAATCGGCGATGGCGGATGCCATCGAAGTCGCAGGTCCCCCAAGTGTTTTTATGCGTTCTAAATCCTCATGGGCATTCCGAAGTTCAGCATCAACCGATTGGGGACCAGGGGTTTCCTCCACGCTAAAGGGGGTGTCGAGAACCTGCGTGACCAAGAAAATTCAGAGACGAAAACCAGATAATTTGATGCAAGTACCTTCGAAGCAGGTTCTCTGGATGAGCCTTGGATTTTCAGAAGAGGCGGGATGCTTGTCGGTGGAAGAATGCGGATGTGACGTGTCCTGGGGGCCTCGTAAAAAATGAAGGACTGGGATTACGATTTCGAGCACTTACCTCGACTTTCTGACTCGATACAGCACCTTGAGGGTCAACGTTCTGGACTGCAGGAATGCGGTTGCGGGAAAACTTGAAGGACTTCTGGAATCTGCACAAAGTCAACCATATCCATTATCAGAACAATAGCAGTCTACTTACAGAAAGTTTCTTGGTGATGCCTTTCGTAAATTTCCTCATAACTTGCGATGGCTCTGGACGAAGAAAGAGTAAGAGGCAGCGACGAATTTCATACGCGCTCATCCACAGTGGTGAACCCATGAGACCACATACCGAGCTTTCACGAACAGTTGCTTCGCAGGTTTCTGAAGGAGGATCTGGCTTATGGTCTCCACTCAGTACAAGTGGTCAATGTGAGAAAAGTGGGGTGCAAGAAGTAAATTGGAGAAGGGAGAAGACCTCGAGCGCTAACATGATTATCAGCAGCCATGGGAATAAGGGGGCGCGGGTACAACTTAGCCCCCGAAGAGGCAATGCGAGATCTAATGATGTTGGGCTGGTCCGAGCGTCGCGTCAGCTTGGGGTGGACGCAAGCAAGTGGAACCGCTGGGAGGGCGGAGAACCTGCTTACGAGTTCGATCGTGCAGTGTGCACTGATTAGTACTGCAGGACTCTCAGTGTGTGGTACGCTAATTAGGTAAATGACCATAACTGTTAACATGTTCTATTCACACTGCACTAACGACGGTACAATGCAACAACAGAAATTATGATGTGGTGGTGGTGGGCGTAAAGAACGAGAGGAATATCGAGTGAGGATACGCGAGCCTCTATGTCGAACTCGTCGCGAAGAACGAAGAACGCATAAAAAGGAACAGACCTCGAAGTGTGCTGCTGGGATACTCCGACGAGCTAGTTCCTTCTATCGAAATGAATCCCCGACTCCCATGGACCTGGGCCTGCAGGATGCCATGGTGGAGGGACTTTGCCAGTCTCACGTCCGCGTCATTCGTCTCAACCCAGGCTCACTTCTTACCCGCTAGCCAGCCAATGAAAGTAGTTACGCCCTTCGGCAGCCTTTCCTTACTTCCTGCCAGTCCCCTGCCTCGTCAATGTCGCCTCAGTAATGCTTCCGATCGAATAATTTTCTGTCCCCACTGGCAGCACCTTGTTATTAATGTGGCTATAACGTCTGCCCTGATTCTGTGACTGCGACGTGCGTCTACGTCGCATTGCCACCTTTGTCGCCACTCACTGCAATATGACCGTCTCAGTAGCGCGACAACTGATGTCAATCCCACTCCGGGACGGCGTGGAGACAGTGACCGACATCTCCGAGTGACCCAGTGGGTCAATTAGCTTGGACTAGATTTCTTCGTCTCACCTACAAGGCGGTTTCGTAAACTACACGATCTCGTTACGGACAGCATTGCCCGTGGGTGCCCCGGCACTTAGGTACACGTTCTTTCGAGAATATCCATTCAATGGTACACGCGCCACCAAATGCTTTGATTCGCGAGATTATAGGAATCACGTTAAACGCAGCCGACGTCGCTGGAAACGTGGACACGTATGCGGGAAAAACACGGCGAGGTTATGGACCGTGGAGAAGTGGACATATCGTGGGTCAACGGGATCGTCAAACAGTAGTAAGTCAAAGATGCCTGTCATGATGTATCTATTCGCGAATTGCAGATCAGTGTATCAGTCTAGGTTCTGGAGATGGAAGATGAGTTGAAATTCAGTGTTCGTTACATTGCGAGAATATTCTCAGTTGCATAAAGTAACACAGCAGACTAGCAAGTCTGAACCTAATCTTGCCGCAGAAAGAAAAGTGCAAGCGAGTCGGAGTCAGGAACTTGCTGTGTGAGCGGCGTTACCATGGCTAAAAATGTTGCATGATTATTCCAAGCTCCTGGAGCCCTGGACCGCCTCTGCAGGGCGCTCGCATGGCAAAGAATAGCTTCGGCAGCTCAGCGCTCAATGATCATCGAGATCATCAACCGCTCTACCCAGCGACGCCGACTGTCCCTGCTGCCCGGGATTCTCCGTCACTGGAATTTTGACTCACTCGTACCGTTTTTGCACTCGGCAACCTAAGATGACACCAACACGGTAAGCATACTATTGCTACCAAGTACTTGCTCGACTGCAATCAATCGTCATAAGGATACACTACTATTAATCAATAAATGCATGCATTGTCCATGTCCAAGTACGTGTAAGTCCGAGTCAGTCCAGTCTAATTAAATGCTTGGGCAACTTACGGCCCTAACACAGTCGAAACCTGCGTCGTCTTCTAGGGGAATCGTCCTCGATAACATTATTTCCTCTAATAACCTTCAGGAACACGCTCTCTAGTGTTGCTTTTTCTACGCTGTACTCCTGGAAATCGCCTTGGGACGAGAGAATATGGAACAATTGCGCAAGCGTGAGCCCACTGCCAGTGCCGTCTTGTATAGGAACTTCGAAACGCGTAGCAACGTCGTCGGCTAGACGGGAGCCTGGAATCCGACTCATGAGGACCTGAGCTTTGAACGTGTCTTCTCGTGTCGGACAAGAGAAATGCACTTGGTACGTGGCATAACGCGAGACCAGGTCCTCGATCGTACCAACAGCTGCAAGGCGATAAGATATTGCAAACATCATAGCGAACAATGTGCTTACCCAGTAATTGTTTAGATATGATGCCGACTTATTTGCTAGAGCTGAAGCTTCTTCCATGGAATCTATATAGCCATCGGAAATTAGAGGCAAGGTCAGGATGATCTCAAAGAAAACGTACGTGTCGTGATAACAATTGCTTTTCCGACAGCGACGTTTCGGAGAGTGCCCCACATCTCTCTCTTCATCTTCGCATCTACTCCCGTAGAGAACTCATCAATGAGAACAACAGAAGGGTTACCTGCATGTGTCCACGTCAGCCATCACATGCACCAGAAGTGTAAGAGCTCACCAATGAGGGCGATAGCAAGAGAGAGCTTGCGTTGATTCCCGCCGGACAGTTGACTCGCTAGTCGGTCAGCATACATATGCAATGATGTAGCAATCATGAGTGCCTCGACATTTGTTTTTAGTTCATGACCCCTGTTCAGGCCTTTGAGACGTCCATAGATCATGAGGTGTTCCCGAACAGTCAACTGAGAGTCAATTGCAGTGAACTGTGGGCAGACTCCCAAAGATAGACGTGCGGTCCTTGGAGAGTTTAATACTGATACCCCCTTGATCAATACGTCTCCCATGTCCGGAACGATATCGCCACCTAGACGGAAATGAGTCTCAGAGTGTAATCGTCATATCAGATATACATACGAATCATGTTGAACGTTGTAGTTTTTCCAGCCCCGTTAGGCCCAAGCATAGGCAAAAATAGTATCCCGAGACACCCCATAAGACACGTCATCGACAACTTTATTGCTGCTAAATGTCTTTGTAAGATGGAGCAGACGTAGCGCGTCACTGGAGTGTGCCACCGCACGCGCTTCAGCAGCAACGTCTTGTCTGTTGGCCTCAAAGTTGGCCTGCAACTCATCCATTCGTCCTTTCCGTCCCTTGGTATTGAGGAATCGACGAGGGATGATTGACCCAGAATCGACCCATACGAGAATACCGAACAGGATAAAGCCATAAACGACGAGGTAGACGATGGGGCCTCCATATCGCAGGATGTCACCAAGTGATGACGTTGTCACGGGAGTCGTGCCGTCGCAGAGCAGTGAGAAGAGATTTATTGATACAAAGGCCGCACGCATCTGTTACATGGTGAAGGCTAGTTTGCACGAAGAAAATAATGCAACTTACGACACTAGCCACCGGTGATAACACCGAAAACGTGAAGTCTAGAAAGATCATTTAAAACGCCAGGTCACAGATGCACATATAACAACGCCTTACGGATGATCGTGATAATGGCACTGGATTGAGACGGTAACGCATAAGTCAGCGTCAGGAGATATGCACCCAAGTACATCTAGTCCTGCGTTAGTGGTGGTGTGCCCAAAAAACTGCAAGAGCTCACAATATAAATGACGATTTGGTATCCTGCCACTGCTGCAAAAGAGGACAGTGGTGACGACATGAACAACGATACGCAGTACGCGAACAACGCGCCAACGATGCCGTACAAAACGAGGACGAGCCACTACCAGAATGCATCAGTGAATTATAATGCTCAAAAAAAATAAAGGTAAACATACGAAGAAACCAAGGCCGCTGAACTGATTTGTAGTGACAGCGAATATAATGATAATGATTGTAGCCAGTGTCACCGAAAATATCGAGTCCCACAGGAGATGGCCGATCCAAAGCCCAATGGGATCTGAAAGACCGTTCGATAGTTGCATAGCTTGCACGGCTGATCTCCGCTCTCTTGAGACATAGAGGGAGAAAAACGCAGGGAAGACAGCCTAAGCAAGATATTAGCGCATGACTCTATGTGTATGGAATTCGCGTACCATAGCAGCTCCGAAGAACGCCACCCACTTGAGATCAACCAGAGTCCCTGTATTAAGATGAGGGAAAGCAGCATAGCTCGCGTAAATGAGGTGCGGCTTGCTTGCAGTGTTCCCAGACGCGTTCAATGCCCGATTGTACAGTATATTTGTCACCAGATTCATCATGGTCGGACCAGTTAAACCGGGCGGGGTTGCATCCCATGCAAATAACGAATCACCCGTCTGCATATCTATCGATATCCCACCAAAAATCAAGTTAGAGTAGTCCTGGTCAATCGTTGAGATGAATGTAGCATTGTTAAGGATGTTTTCCGTTTTCAGGAATAAGGCGCTTTGTCCGAGAGTCGCAATGATATCCGGGGGTGACTCCAAGATCTGGGTACCAGGTCCGGTTTCTGAATAGTAGACAGGCGATTCGGGAAAGTACAACGAAATGACGGACTCGTTCTTGAACTGAGTGGTACATGTTGTGTCCTGGCCAGATAGGAAAACTAGCGGGATGCATGAACCGCAGACCGCGATGAGCACGACCAACAAGGGCGTCAGCCAACTTCTGCGAGCGATTAATGCACGCTTGTAGAAGATCGTCAAAGCTTGGCTAAGAGGAGAACGAGGTCGCCCATCGGTAAGCTGAAGGGCCCCAGGTGGAGCAGATGGGTCGTCGGTCAACTTAGCCAGGATGGGCTCAGAAATGCCACCTGAACTTGCAATGGACTTCTCGGTGCTATCTAGGGAGACACTGCCAGTTTGACGGGCCATGAGATCCAGGAAGATATCTTCAATGGACGTCCCCAACACATCGCAGGATGCGACGTGAGAGCACTGCGCTCCTTATCTAACAGCTGGAGGACCTTCTCCACAACCACGGGATCCTTCGACTTGAGGTGGTATGATGCCTGGCTCGGCGAGGAGAGTGACATGGAGCACTGGGTGCAAATTTGGCGAATACAATCCAAAGTTTCTGTTGGAAGGTCCTTCTCGGGCAAATCATGGGAGTCGAACATAACTTGGACGCTATATCCCTGCCCGAGGTTTGACTTGAGAGCAACAGGAGTGCCCTCAGCTACCAACTTGCCTGGCGCAGCCAAAATGGCTATGTTATCGGCCAACAGATCAGCTTCGTCCAAGAAATGAGTGGTGAACACGATGGTCCGGTCGAGGCGAACAGACGTCAAAGTCCTCCACAACGCCCGGCGGGATAACGGATCAACACCGGATGTACACTCATCCACAAGGACAATCTTGGAGCCTCCGACAAGTCCAATAGCGAGCTGCAGCTTGCGCTTCTGACCACCAGAGAGAGTACTGGCATTGGCGTGGATCTTTTTGCCGAGATCGCAGTCACGTAATAGCTGCTCGTAATCTTCGTTTTCGTCTATCGATTGAGCAGAATGCTTCACTGCGCGCCATACGCGGAGAGTTTGGTAGCAAGAAAGTTCAGGGAATATCACATTTTTCTGAGGCACGATGCCAAGCGTTCCGCGGGGGGGATGAGAGACACCACCCTCAAAGGTGACAGTTCCAGTGCTGCGCCCGAGGAGATTTCCAATGATTGATAATGCTGTTGACTTACCGGCGCTATACCATCCCCCTGGTTGTTAGGAAACTTTCCAATTTGCCGGAGGTAAAGCTAAACTCACCCATTTGATCCTAAAAGAACGAAGATACCAGACTTCGGAACGTCGAAAGACAAATCTGCGATGGCAGTGACCCGTCGCTTCTCACGATGGAACATGGAAGGGGAAAACGTCTTGCCCAAATTCCTGACAGAAATTGCAACTCCGTCAGGGTGCGGAGGTAGGTCAGACTTTTTCTGCCTGCGGCAGCATGACCAAAAGCCCGAGGACGGCTTTCTGGCGTCATAGAGCCTTCTCTCGAGCAGGACACCTAAGTATGGCCATAGGAACACGTCAACCTAAGCATAGGTTAAGACATTGTACACGATAAATATGCACCACGTACAATGGCAGCAATGATCAAGGGCAACAAAATTAGATTGTCATCCGGATCTGGCTTCAGGATATTGGTTGGAATTTGGTGGTTTTCCCAGCCACATATAGCACGGATCGCGAAGACATAGTATCCAGGCGGGAATATTAGGGTAAAAATAGTCGCCGCAGTCGTGCTAGCGCTGCTAAAGACTAGCGCGACGATAGCAAATATGATACCAAGGAATGTAGTTGCCACAGCCGCAAGCTGAGGACTCTTGCCAAAAGGAGCTGCGACGAAGAAGGACCAACTGGCAAACGAGAATCCAAATAGAAGGTGCACAATAAGCACCAGGCCGATATTAGTAGCGCTGAAAATTCGGTAGTGCCATATGATAGAAACGACAATCCATGCGGGAAGATATGCTAGAGAGATACTAATATGCCATGACCTGAACGCCACAAGTAATCAGTGAAGCGCGATGATTGACGAGTCCTTGTGAGCGGAGACATACGCTATTCTGGCAGCATCCAGAAGACCCATAGCCTTCATGTGGCTGGTCAGGAGATTGGCTCTCTCGCCGGTGAATGCCCCTGGAAGATGATACGCAATGCCGATATAACAAATAAAGCTGGATCCCGAATTAGAGTTGTAGGATTGGCAGTTGATGTATTGGACTCACAGTGCAATGACAAGAAGATTCCGGATGCCTCTAATGAAACCTGAGACAGTAACAAGTCAGTACGCGATCATACCATGAATGTAAACGACATACTAAGTCTCATAGCAGTGGCCTGTTCTTGATTGGTTTCCTGACTATATGGCCATTCCATAGGAGTGAGTACCTCCTGTCCAGATCTGAGCTCAATGATTGCCTGAGGTGAACGATTAACACGTTGAAAGGAAAAGAGAGCAAGCGAATGCGATACCTGGTCTAATGCCCATTGCAACGGCAGAATACGTGTCTCGAAATCACTAGTATGGCTGATTACGTTGACATAGACAAGTCCAGCGTCGGCACTTATGGTGTAGTTAATTGGTGTCGTATCTGTGGCGTTCATTGGAAGGTAATTGAACGCAATACCAGCAAAGCACTGAGAGGTCAAGTCAAAGTTTTGTGGACACTGAGTTGGTATGTCTGCGGGTGTCGCAACCTGCATGACCGCTTGAAGTTGATTTGACGTGAAGTTACTGGTGATGCGCGCCATGACTTGTTCCGCAGAGGGTGTTCCAGTGCCATTGGTTCCATCAGCCCAGACTAAGGTTAGAGAGCCATCAAACTCATTCTGGAGATTGTAGACCGAGATCGGAGAGCCAAACCCATACTAGTGACAAGGATTTGAGGCGGTGGAGTCGAATAATTTGAAAATATTCCTCACATTATTTGGCTTTACAAGGAATGTCTGTGCGGCAGCAAGGAAAACTTAATAACCGTTGTAAGTATGTACTATATTCATGAAATTAAGAGGGAGCTGGACGTACTTCCGTATCCGATCGGCAACAACAAGCAGCGCAGGATGTTCAACTATGCCATGGTCAGAGTGGTGAACGCTCCACATGTGGCATTTTACTCACGAGCGAATGTTTAGAGAGAACGATCCAGTTCTTCCAGCATAGTATTATGAATTGCCGGAGGAACAAACTCCCCGTGACTCGGAATGCCATGGGCCGTACCAGGAGAGACGAAGGTTCGACTGGAGCTTATATACCCTAGGACGCAGTTTCAGGGAATACGCAGCAGCCGGTGTATCGATCTGGATTTGTCCATTACAACGCACAGGAGATGCCGCCGCATCGATATCGTGAGACGCGGAAAATTGGGAGAATTTAGAGTTAGAATGTTTTACAAGCTTCCCCTAAGTATAGGTATGTTACGATTGAAAATAGAATTTACGGACATGATTAAACAGATCAAGTTCTTGTCTCTTGATGCTTGGCAACCGTCTGAACAGCCCTACGCGTACGAGCATTCTACCGTCAAGTACTGGTAAGTAACTTGCAATTCGAACTAGTACAACTAGCATTTCATTCAAGACCGTTTGCTGCATGGGTACTTGGTGGAGGCGTGCGAAGCCTATTGTGTTTTTCTTAGCTTCGCTGTGTTACCCATCCGGGTCCAGTGGAGCTGCAGCTGGAGACATGAGAAGACAGGAGAAAACCACCAATGACAGTACTTGGACAGTACACCGCCTTTCTGCCTTCCGTCGGAGTTTGACCGCTTACTCAAATTAGAACAACTCCAAGTTTTGCACAGCTTGGCATCCCGTTCGTATTCAAACTTTGAGGAAGGAACACCTACATTCCTTCCTTTCAAGTTGACGCTGAGTGCCGACCGCACTGGACTCGGGAACACCAAAGATCGCGTCGAATTGTACCAATTTTTAAATGGAAGGACAGCCTGAGGCCGCATCACGACACAGTACGCGTCGCCTAGTTCGGTGTCTCGTCAATGTAATGAATCAATATTTGTGTGCATGTCTTCACCGTCAAGCGCGTAGGTCCACAAATACTACAGTGCGCTACCGACCGCTACTTGCACGCAGAGGACAAATCGATGGTTTAAGTTTTCCGACCGCCAATTGCACAGGAATTCTTAGCGTTGACTGAATCTTAGAGCTAATTAGCATGAACACCCAAATTAATACCGAACTCGAAAAGACGTCGTCTTAGCATAAATTTACCGCAGGCCAAATTGTCTGTCCTACCCAAGGTACGTACAAAATATCCTGTATCTCGCTCAGTTTTGATTCAAATAAGAGTCCCTCTTAATTTCTACCAGGGGGACAGAAAATTCTGGAGGGGTCAAAAGGTAGTGGTGACCAAGTAACACGCACCATAGGTATCGAAACGCCGTGGGCGTGGTTACAATCGTAGTGACACTAGCCTCCCAGGTCAAGGTTGTTGCCACTATACCACTAACCCATTTTACAATAGTAGAATGGTGGCGCTCAGCGCTCATGCATCCGTGATAGCTTCAATAAAGTAGTTACTAATGCCATACCAGGTGACGCTGACTCTTGTGTTCGATTTGGATGTCGCTTTCCGACTTCAGTACAATCTATGCGCAACCACAGACTCTGCGCGGTTTCAATCTTCCGAGTCCTGCGTCCTCATTCTGTGCCTTCGCTTGTTTATTTGCTTCACCGGGAATCGGAAGAGTCGCACAACATGATGTCTCGCATCGGGCCTATATGCACTCCCACAGCACTTTCTCCCAAAAACCACTCGATACTATGTGGTATATGGATCGCAATGATACGTTGTCCATGCTGGAAGTCTTGCTTCTTCCGACAGGAATCAAGACATCGGATTCGCCTGGGCGACCAATTGCATTAATAGTTGTATGTGTTCCAAAGTTTATATAAACCCCACGTAGGCGATAAACTATTCAGGGGATGGAAGGCCTGTGAAAATGGGGAATTAAAGAAAGGAACGGTCTGCACTATACGTGTGAGGTAATCGGGCCGCTCCATTGATGTGCCAGGCACAGAAGTTCTGCCTAATTTTGAGAGGAGCGCTGACTTAGTGCGCGTTAGTCATGATTGGTGGCATGAGTCAAAAATACCCCTGAGTTATGTACATCAACCACTTTGTGGATGTCCTCGGAACGTGGCCTACAGGCCTTCGACGTACTCGCCCAGAATCCAGAGGACGCTGCGGAAGGCTTTGCCGGATTTGATCTCTGTCAGAATTTGAGTGAGCTTTTCGCATATGGACTGCCAGAGCTGCGAGGACTGGGAAGGGAAACAAGGCCACAACGTCCAGCACAGAGGAGTTATTCGAGTCTCCAACGAATTCAATGAGTGCGTGTAAAGCACTTGCAGCCACCTCGGAAAACTTGACCGTTAACACGGGTCGATTGGATTAGAAGTTGCCCGTACTCCCGGGCCTACCCAAGTTTAGTCCACGGCAACGTGCACATTTCGGACGGCATTGCTAGGGAAGGTGAGTATATGTACGGTAGAAGGATAATAGAAGATACACGTACACGACGAGAATCACATATGCTTCTTGTTCTCATCAAACCGTTTGACGCACTTCCCAGTAGAAGTAAGACTCCTGCTTGTTTCAATATATTGTATGATCGTCATAATGAGGTCTACAGGAAAGATCAAGGAGTATACCTGAGTGTTTCCATTAATCATCGACACGATAATCACGCTCAACGTCTCTTCATCAGTACATACCTTTCTAGAGATATTCTAAACTCCTGCGTGGATGGGCTCTCTGTGGTATCTTTAAATACGACTGTGTAGCATGGTGCGTCTGCTGCCACTAGACGACGTGATTGACGGTGAACCCGAGCGTTACTTTGGATGTGTCCACCGTTCAAACGTTCAGGACCACTGGTGACTGAGTGACTTGTCAGTGTATCGACGCAAGATTGAATATGGCTGTATAAAGGCGTGAGAAACACCTTCCGAATACGCGTACAATGTCTGTTCAAACTTCAAACTAATTCGTGTTCTACTTCAGATAACCCTGTACTATCACATAGAACCTATGACATTTCCTGGTCTTCCCAAGTGGTCCACTCCTGCACGTTCCACTTCTCGTGCTACAAATGGTGCCCTAGCAGTAAGCATAGTCACCTTTTACCTTGCCTTCATGATGCAGGAGATAGGTGTTCGTCGTACGTTACATGTTTTTTCTACTTTGACCTCTCATGAATGAATGCTACAGTGGAGAAGTACGTGTAAGCCCGCTGGCTTACTAGAGTTCCCATAATCTACATAAATACCTGTCCGAGATACTGAAGCACAAGCTTTCAGTGTCACTACCTTTTGGTGTAACGGTTAAGGGATGTCAGTCTTGACTACTTACAGTATGCCAAGGATCCTAAAAACCCATATGGTGCTCAGATTGCAAAGGAGGCACATCATTGGAAGGCAGTTTGACTACCTACAAGGTATTAGGTGCGGTCAATTATACCCTTTTCAACGAGCTGACAGCTCATTTGTTACTTCCTTGTAGATCCTTTGCACACACTTCGAGTACCGGCCAATGGCCAAATACCTTCGCACCACGTTGTGGATGTATAACACAATTGAATGTTGAACGTTGATAGACAGCAGTTCAGTAACTTCAATTGTAGTGTCCGTGACACGTTAATTTCATTTCTTTGTCGCATGATATAGACCCATTTAGACTAGTACTTGTACTCGGCATCTTGGAAAACCCAATGATGCGTCAGATCGGTTTCTGAGGAACCCGAGACGCACGCAGTACTACTACTAGTAGTGCCAGTTGAGCGCTGCCTTATGAATCGGGGCGCCCTGAATTCGGGCTCAGTTTAGTATTTATGGATCTGTTCTATCAAGTGATGCGCGGTGGAAATCATTTAACAACCGGCCCGTTGACGTCGCTGAGCGCTGAGCCTTCGCACCCTGCCCAACAAGCACCATGTCTGCTCCCCCAGACTATTACACAGAAGACAAGGAGAAAGCCCTTAGCTCGGTTGAAGATGAAGTTGTGTATGCCGAGGTAGCGCCAGATCGCGTGATCGCAAGCCGTTTTGGTACACTCGGTCCACTTCTTTCAAGACTCTTTGCCAGCGGTGTCGAGGCTCGTGGAGTAGAGCGTGTACCGGAAAACCAGAGAGAGTCGAAAAATGCTTGGAACAAGTGCGTGTCTTGTCTTGTGCTCATATGCCTGTCCTGAACCCAATGTAGTCTTCTCATGTGGTGGTCAGTCCGACATGATGCAACGCTTTGCTTTTTTTTCATATCCTCTTTCCTTGATCTTTGCGTAGGTCCGTTAACACAGTGTTGACTACCATTCCTGTCGGGGTGCTCGCACAGTCCATTTACACTCTGAGTTTTGGGTATGTTACTCAGCATATGCCGCTCCATAACAAACCACGCTTATTCTCTCAAGTAACGCTGTAGCAACTATTCTCTGCTTTGGCGCTCTTGGCGGCGTTGCAACAGCATTCATAGCTACTCTCGGCCCCATAACTGGTCTCCGCACCATGATTATCACCCGTTTCAGCTCAGGATACTGCGGCGGCACCATCTACTCGGTCCTCAACATCCTTACTCAGTGCGAGGATTCTCCTTTATATGCACATTATCTCACTGATCATGCCTAGGCTCGGCTTTTCCACAACAGCAGTCATTCTGGGAGGTCAAACGCTCGCCAATATCAATCCCGGCACCCTTCCGCTCGTCGTTGGCATCGTTATCATTGGCGTGTGTTGCCTCATCCCGTGTTTTATCGGGTACAACATGGTACACGTCTACGAGCGCTATGCATGGATGGTTACCAGTGTCATAATGCTTTTCCTCTGGGGTCTTGGTGGTAAAGCTGGATATGACATAAACGCGCAAAAACCTTTCGAAGACACAGGGCGTGCTCTTTCAGCAGATATTCTCAGTTTTGGCGGAATCGTATTCGGCTCATTTTCAGGGGTGCGTCCAAACATTATCTCTCTTGTATCACATGTGAACCTTTATCCACTAGTGGGCTCCAGTTGCCGCAGATTATAATTGCCGGCTACCGGCTGATACGCCAGCCATGCGCGTATTCCTGCTTACATTCTTTGGCCTGTTTATCCCCATCTGCTTCGTAGAGATCCTTGGTGCAGCCCTTATGACAATCACAGATCCCGCATATATCAACGCGTTCGCAGACGGCTCAACAGGCGGTCTAATCGCGCAAGTTCTTTCTCCTTGGGGTCACTTTGGCCAATTCATCCTTGTCCTTCTCGCACTTTCCGTCATGTAAGATCGGATTAATACCTTCTTGTATGTACTAATCCAGGAATAGCGCCAACAATATCCCAAATACATATTCCACCGGCCTGTCGATACAAGCCCTCGGACGCCCATTCGCCATCATCCCGCGCTTCTTCTGGGTTTTCATCGCTTTCGTCGTATATACCGTAGCAGGCGTCGCAGGCCGCGAACACTTCAGCGTCATCCTTTCCAATTTCCTCAGTATTCTCAGTTACTGGACGGCTTTCTTCATCGTGATCGTAGCCGAGGAACATTTCATCTTCAGGCGGAAGAACGGGCCGCTTGGGGGTTACAATTTGGATGCTTACGATACGCCGTCAAAGTGAGTCTGCTGGTTTTGGGTGAAGATGCCGTTGACCCTGCCATGTCTTCAAGGCTGCCACTAGGCATAGCAGGTATACTCGCAATGTGCTTTGGAATTGCAGGTGCTGTGGTTGGGATGTCAGAGGTATGTCGTTTCCTTATCCTAGCCTCGTACACTGAATTCGTCCGTAGGTATGGTATACAGGACCGCTTGGGAAGATGGCAGGAGCGGCGTACGGCGCTGATCTTGGGTTCGAGGTACAATTGTTTTGGCTGATTAAACACGCGCTCATAATATTTGCATATAGCTCGCGGCCGCTTTCTCGGCTGTTACTTACCCTCCGCTACGTGCGCTTGAGATTAAGCTCATTGGACGATAAGGGAGATCTACTGCACTGGTATGAATGCTGTAGCGTCTTGGTGTACCTTCTGATCACCTATCAATAATCACGAATTGTGGGAAGACTGGCTGGGTAGATTACATATCCTGTAGAACGAAACCATTAAAGGCGTTGAGCTATAGCAGGTGCTCGACTTCTGTTGAATTCACAGGCGCATGACGTGCTTCTAATGGTATCGTACATCTGGAATTTCCCTCGTAACAGTGCTTTCTGCCGCTTTCCGAGTCTAGTAGGTTGACATCCTGAAAGGTATAGGTGGAGATTATGGGACCACTATCACCTCCTTCCATCTTTCGTTCTCCGTTTCCTGTTTAATGAACTTTGTCCTCCGGTTAGGCATAACCCCCAGTTCGACATAGTCAACTTCAACAGGGTCAATTAGAACTAAAGAAAAATTTCCTCGGGCCTCCTCGTAATTCTTAGCGTCATACCCTTCCTCTCCGGGTTTCGCGACCTTGACAGGCCACTTCTCTGCATCGCTGTAAGAGTCCATGAGGGAACCAGGAACAGGCCGGCACCAGGATGCGCGCATGTGCGCACCGACACTATCGAATTGCTTCCGTCGCTCGTCCTCCCAGTCCCACCCCTGACTCCGGAATGCATCATACACCTCCCCCACGCCCTCGATTCCTTTTGTCTCCTTAAGGTCAGGTGAGGGGTAGATAGCCTGCACGCCCAGAGACACGGAATTCCTCGTTTGTGGCTTCGATCCAGAAGTGCGCTTCAACGCGATGGTTAGGGTTGGATTTGATCTGAGTGACCTTCGGAGTACGGATGTCTGTGCTTGTGAGGAGCAAGGCAGAGAAGGCAGGGATGGATGGATGATGTGGTCCCTGAGGATATGGCTACGAACGTATGGAGTAGCGCTATTGACGTCAGTAGTTGCGAGCTGAAAGACTGGTTCGAACACTAATATCGAGCGCCTCATGAAGCGTAGTTAGATGCTCACCATTTTTCTTTCCTTCTTCCTTCTGCAGAGCGAGCTGGAGAGCATTATGCCAGCGTGCACTGCCAGCAGCCATCATGAAATAAGTAATGTGAATGTACTTCAAGTTGGTTTGGTGACGGTATCAGTTCTTCTCTTCCATAATTGGTGGGAAAAGCTAATTGAGTGTTTTGAAATTTGAATTGGTTTTGAAGTTCTAGGCTTGCAGCGGCTTCCAGTTAAGTGGTCCTTTCATTGATTTCATCCCCTTAACGTTTGAAGCTGCTGGATGGCTTTTAGACGCGTGTCAAGCCTATCGCTTCTTAGCCTTCAGGTCGCTGTTGTAACATTTACATAAGAAGACTGCCAATGACACAGCCTGTCTGACTGAACTGCCCTCGACTCGTGGTACTGCTGTCGTGCGTCTGAACCGTGCAAGCCCGTACTTATGATTCCTCCCTTCAGTAGCGCAACTCACTCAGGTAGGTATCGCCTTAATGTTGGTTTATTCCTCACGTATTCAAGTGATTCTCGGGTAATCCTGAAGCGTTTACATTAATACTACCTAGTAGTGCCCCAACTGCTGGTACTATTGCGACTCACCGTCTAGTCTCCACACATAGCTTGGCCCTTGCTGGAATTATTGGAGGGATCGCTCTTGGAATTGGGGCCGTCTGGCTGTTGGTCGTCCGCATACGCAAACTCAAACTCAAAGCGATCGTTGCATCCGCTGGGACCTCTGAATCCTCACCTCTTCTAGTTCGATATCAAGCACCAATTGATCTTCAGGTGAGGAGCTCGATGACATTTCCGCGTAACCAGCGCAGTAGACTGATTGAAGAGGGTGAATAGACTTCTACTGCAACGTTAGAAAACGACATACTACTTTGTTCCATCTGTGCAAAGCTGGATTTTTACAGGATCTTCCTTTATGGCATCCATGAGCTGGAGGCGATTCCACTCGGTTCACTCTCATCTATCTTGGAAAAATCTTATCAATGCAGTTTCTGCCGCCTCATATCATTGTATGTCCGTCGATCACGGATTATGGAGAACTTTCCTCACACCGATCTCTCAGAGATTGAATGTAGGCTGTGCACGATAGTTTGTGGTGCTCTTCGAAGGGGACCTTATCCCCCACTCCGTTATGGCCGTCGCCTTCACATCACTGGGAACGACCTTTGGCAGACACATCCCGCTTTCAAAGCAGCGGGTTTGCTGATAATTCACCTCATGCAAGAAGATGCTTTCAAGTTTGGGAGGCCGGTCGATCTTCATGGTCGTAGGGTGAAGAACACGGTGGATATCGGTCTGGTGAAGAAGTGGGTTAAGTTGTGCCAGGAGAACCATGGAGATAAATGTCAGAATGTTTGGGGAACGGACAGGAACCTGCCGGGGTCCGTGAGAGTGGTGGACGTAGTATCGATGGCCGTGGTCCCTGCACCTTCTGGCTGTCGTTATGTTGCCCTCAGTTATGTATGGGGAGTCAACGGCGCAGAGTATTGGACGACGAAGGATGATATAGCAAAGCGCTCCATGCCTGGCGGATTGAACGCGGCAAACCTCCCTGACACCATCACAGACTCGATTTCATTCGTTCGACAGCTTGGTGAACGTTATATATGGATCGACGCTCTATGCATCATTCAAGATGATTCGCAGGACAAGGTCATTCAGCTGCATGCTATGGATTTGGTATATGGCCTGTCTTATTTCACGTTAATTGCTGCTGGCGGCAAGACGGCTCGAGACCCTCTCCCAGGATACCGTCCACGAACTAGAACGCCACAAATACATATCGAAGTCATTCAAGGACTTCATCTCTTTGTGACTCCTCCAACACATGAGGTTGCTCTGGCACTGTCCGTTTGGATTACGCGTTGTTGGACCTATCAAGAGTGCGCGCTGTCTTGCCGAAGGATATACTTCACTGAGAAGCAGGTCTACTTCGACTGCCGATGTCAGGTTTTCCGCGAAGACATCGTCGCGGAAAGTGAGGCCGACTTCTCCACCAGTTTTGTAAGGTATCCACGGGGAGAATATTTCCCAGCCTCGACTGACTCCTTCAAGAGTTACATGTTTGCCGTTGAGAGGTGTACACGACGCAATCTCACCGTCGAATCAGACATTGTCGATGCTCCCACTGGAGTGACAAATGCTTTGGTGGTAGCATTTGGACTCGGCGACCCCGCCAGAGCTTTCCAATATGGAATGATGTTGACGGAACTACATCACGCGCTTCTCTGGCAACACGATCCACATACGCCTCGTGTTCGTCGTTCGCTTGCTGAAGGAGGCGACTCTTCTTGGCCTTCTTGGGCATGGGCAACGTGGCGTGGTGCCGTTATCTACATGTCGTGGGGAGTGTATAGGCAGACTCGGGTTGCCAGTTATAGCAGCGAGGCGTCGGTCGATGAGACGCTTATTGATGCTTGGTACATCGTGGACCACAGTGGCGATATAGTGCCGCTCGATGTTCGGAGGGTTTCACGTGTTTATTGGATAGAAGAAGAGCAGCCCCCGTATTCCCCTCCAGGAGGGATCTTAGATCCAGCAGAGATACCACTGGACATTCATCGACCGCTAAAACCAGGCACCCTCATTTTCCGCACGACTTCTAGCCACTTTGACATTACAAGGCGAGGTGGTGAATCAGACGGAGAATCAAGTCCCGCCGACCACTATGGTCTCTTTAATATCATCTCCACCACGTCTTCCCCTCCCACGTGGGTTGGCACTGTCATCCTGCCATTGATCCCTGCCCCGCCAACTTCTATCGAGTTCATCGTGCTTTCCCGTTGTGATGGTGTGGACGGAGTGTGCGATCTTGAGCGTTACCGTGGGTGCTTGCTGCATGTGATGGCGGTTTGTGAGAATGAGGGCTTGATGGAACGTGTTGGGTTGGGCGTCATTCATATCGTTGCCTGGGTTGCTTCCACACCGGAGGAGAAGGTGGTGTTTCTCCGATAATAGCTGGCAGTGTCGGTTTGAATTTCACCTCGATTGTTTAAAAGCTATTGTACTGTACAGTTATGAACCTAGCTTCAGTGTATGACTGACGGGACGCAGACATCTCGACCCCGGTATCGGCCATGACGCTACTGATCGCAACCAATCTGATTTGCCTATCAAATCAAATTCACATCGTGGATTCACGCAAGTTAAATTACATCTCATCCAAAGTTCAAACCTACGTTTTCCAGGACTCCGTGCACGTACGTGTTAACGTTTTTAGAAGCCAGGTAAGCAGATCTAGCCCCGTATGGATTCCGGGAAATTTGTGCGTCCTGGGTTCGTCCACGAGTATATAAATTTGTCTGGGTGTTATGATAAATTTCAAAAATGCGATTCTTTGGCATGTTAGAGGGGTCATATAGCGCAGCTCAAGAAGCATAGAAATATCACTATTCAGCCTCCTCATCCCCTCATAAGACTCCGGTCCGGTTTACCCTTTTGCGAAAAAGTTTTACTGCTTCGGTAAGTCGAGGCGAAGCATAATATAGCATTTTGAACGCGGGGACGTCAGCTGGCGCAAGTTCAGGCCCTGGAGGTGTCACTTTAGGTGTAGAAGTGAAAAGGCAAAGGAAGGCGGTAGAGGGAAGGAAAGCAAATTGATGGCACTAAAAGATGCTAGTTGCATCAGGCAGAGAGCGGAAATGCTGGAGGAAATGTTGGTAGACCTGAATCCCAAGTTACGAGATGCGGCAGCAATCGCATCCACATCCACATAGTACTTGTCATTCTGCCCACCACCTTTCCAGTATAGTGCGACAACATTCATTCGAGCTGCAGGTTTACGAAGCGCCAACTTGAAAGCTTACCCACATGGCACAGTTACCGTCCACCTTGCTCCCTAAATATCATGCCAAAATTGCTATCTTGGAGTGGGCGGTGTACAGATACGAGCATCGGAGAAGTATCCTGCCAGTTTGAAGACATTTCTCTTGCAACGCATTGCCTGATGAAAGAATCAGCGTAAAAATGAATGATCCAATGAAAAAGATAAGCAGTGACTCACAAGTAACCTAGTCTCACGCACACGTTACGCCACGTACCAAGTGCATTTCTTTTGTCCAAATCGTACGAGAGGATGCGACTAGTGACCGATATCGCTTGTACCTTGAAGTGATCCAAGTCCAAGGAACTGGGGGCGGTCTGCGTTTGTGAATAATTTATTATCATTGTGTATGTTTGAACATATCTGTTAAGCGTTAAACAGTTCAGATTTGTCAGATTTGTATTTCGTTGTATCTCACTATTGTTGGTTTGAAATGTGATTCGGGAAGCGGAGGAGGTCGCATGATTGAACTCTGCAAATGCAATAGTGCTTCTCATTTATATTTGTACTGTAGTATTTCGTTCAATTCGACAGTCACGTGTCACATACCCCCTTGTCGAAAACGAAATTTGGCACCTGTCACAGGTCACAAGCGCATTTGTCGAATCCATCCAGAGAGTGACAGCGGAAGCAATTTTCGCACGCTAGGTACACTATTCGTGCAAAGGCTGCGAATTCTCAATTCCTTCACCTCACAATAGATTGCAGTTAGGCTTAACAAATTTCATAAGCATGATGGACCTCCGGCTGCATGGTTCTGGCCAATGATATCAAGACTGACGAAAATTTAGGATATGTCACAGGTCACAGGATGGATCTGTCGAAATGTCGAAAGCACCAGAAGGGTGTGTCGAATTGAACGAAATACTACAGTACTTATTCGTTGTAGCTCACTCCGAGTCGGGCTCACGTTCTGCCAATAGCTAGCTGACCCGCGCCAGTGCTCAAACAGACTGACAACGTTTTATTCATTTGTAAAATTTATACCTGCAGGTTGCAGCTTAATTTGAATTGGGTGTGGTGTATCCGCTGACTAAAGACGCCTGCCTTGACAATCCGACTCGGAGCATATCAATAAACCCATTTGACAAGGATGCAAAACCCACCACATTGGTAGTTGGACTCCCACCCAACCGTCGGCGCATCTTGCCCAAGCCGGTGATGTGTTGCGTTCATAATGCGATATTGCGAGAGGTAGCAGGTCGCAGAAACTGACTGGTGACAGCACATCGCTTATATCATAGTATGTTCAGGACAATGATATAAAAACTCGAAGAGCGAACCGCAGATGACCCATCTGTCGCTAGTCTAGGTGTCTGTGACATGTCTTCTGGCGTGATCATCCTCTTTGTGGCTGCAGCCGCAGTTTTCGTCTACAGCCGTCGACGCGGTAGATTACCACTACCCCCTGGGCCACCTCCGAAGCTCTTTATCGGAAATGCCCATGAACTTCTGCCAAAGAACGAGCCTTGGCGGACGTATGTCAAGTGGGCTGAAATCTATGGTGCACATTGTCCGATTTTCCTCTTGCTGCAAGACTTGCTGACCTATGTCTAACAGGGCCCATATTATCCTTCCGCGTGCCCAACCGGCAGTTCATAGTTCTCAGCTCCCTGAAGGTGGCTACTGAACTGCTCGATGTGCGCGCCACTACGTATTCTGATCGTCCAAAAATATGGATGATAGAACTTGCGAAGCGCAATTTGAACCCGTTCAATGTATCTTTCAAACACCCGTATTTCAAGGAGTATCGCACGGCCCTCAAGAACGGACTGAGTACCCGCACTATACTAAACTACCAGTCGGTGCAAGCTGACGAATGTCGTGTGCTGCTCAACGGTCTGCACAAGAACCCTGACGATTTCGCCGATCACATCAGAAGGTAAACATTCTTGCGATTGCTTATTTTACTCGTTTCTCATCGAGGGTGCAGGAACACAGCGGCCATTGTCCTTAATCTCGCATACGGCTGGAAGGTCGCCGACGATAACGATCATTTCGTTAAGATGTTGAGCGTAGCCTTTGAATCTAATGCCATACTATCCCTGCCTGGACGTTGGTGGGTCGAAGGGATGCCATTTTGTATGTCCCCCTTTCATTTTCCGAGTTATTATAAAACTAAGCTAGTTAACCTTCCATAAGTGCGTTTCCTACCTTCATGGTTCCCAGGGGCAGGTTTCAAGCGCGCGGCTATTGACTACGGGAAAAAGTTGGGTAGCCTTGACACAATACCATTTAACTGGACCAAACAGCAAATAGTAAGCTTTGCTCAGCAATTTCGCGAGTTCGTGTTATCCGGAGTCCTAATCAATTGTTGTCGCCGATCAGCAAGGCGGCAGTTATACGCGTTCCTTCGTTTCAGATCAGCTCCTTCCAGAGGATGGGTCCACGGTCAGCCCCCGAATTGAAGATATCACCATGAGGTGCGGTCAGGTGATCTATGGAGGGGGATCTGACACCGTAAGATATCTTTGGCATCCTTACTCATGTGACTTTTGAAACAATCATTGGCGTGAACAGACGGCATCATCCATGAAGTCTTTTATTCTGGCGATGGTGATTTATCCCGAGGTGCAGAAGCTTGCGCAGGCAGAGATCGATGCCGTCGTGGGTCAGGACCGATTTCCCACGTTCGAGGACAGAGACAAGCTTCCGTACGTCCAAGCGCTCGCCCTGGAGCTCCTCCGCTGGGCACCTGTATCTCCGCAAGGTCAGCCACATGACTTTTTTGTTTTACTTCCCGCTCACTCTCAGCGACGCAGGGCTCCCGCACCACGCAATGAGGGACGACGTCTACGAAGGGTACCGCATCCCCAAGGGTGCAGCCGTCATCGCGAACCTTGTTTCCATGTCACGGGATAAAGAAATGTACCCCGACCCAACGGTGTTCAAGCCTGAGCGCTTCCTCGGTCCCTCGCCCCAGTCAGACCCTCGCAAGTGGTTCTTTGGTTTCGGGCGTCGTAGATGCCCCGGTGCGTGTCCTTTACATGATACTATCCAAGCTGCCACTGAACGGTGGCATCCTGTTTCAGGGTCGCATCTTGCGGAAGCTACGTTGTTCCTCAATATTTCTTGCATCCTGGCTGCGTTCACAATCGCCAAACCGCTTGATGAGAGAGGGAAAGAGTTCACACCTCCTCCAGAATACCACAATGTTGGTGTGCTCTGGTAAGTCGTCTCTCTTTGAGCCCACAATCTATTCTGACGCACACAAAGGCACCCTAAACCATTCAAGTGCAGGTTCATGCCGAGGAACCAGGATCTGCTGGCAACTCTCTCGCACTAATCAGGACATCAGCCGAATTGGGCTAACCCCCACGGATTAGTATGTTCACAGTAGATCGTATGTACACCACAAGAAGTTAGTTAGGCTTGAAGTCGATTTTATCGTTTTTGCGTTCAATACATATAGATTATGTGTCCCGAAAAATGCGCAGTAAGATGGCATGCATCCTGTACCGTTTCAATAAAGGTAGAGTACTAAGTGGGGATACGCTCTATCGGTGGGGCATAAACGTTTAAACAACGACGAATGTTAACGTTCAATTGTTCGGGAGTCGCCGAGTGAATGGCCCCAGGTTCATTCGAAGTTCAACCCTGCATTTTGATCATCGTCCGCGAAAGCGGTCTATGATATATCCTGTCACATCATGATCCTGCGGCTCAATCAGCGCGTTATCAGCTTGGGCAGTCGTCTATTCGCCGTCATCGCGTTTACTACTCCAAGGTCAACAGGCCCGTTTGGTCAGTACTAGACAAAATTTAGATAAGTCGAAGCAGACACGGAATTTTCGCCAAGACCTAACTTCTACTTTATCATACTCTTAAGCTCACCATCTCTCATTCATATCTCACTTACTAGCTAAGATATACTTACTACCAGTATTGCTAACATACAGTGTCAAGCTTGTGCTACATATTGGCACCCCTCCCTTGATCTTAGTAATTCTCCTTTGAAAAAGCTTATAGCTGCTTTTAAATTCGTGTTGTCTTTTTTTACCCTGCCCTGCAGCCTCCTGCATATCCTGCAGCACTGCAGCACCCCTGCTGTGATCTCTGTGCCTGCGCTTTTTCACGCTGTCTAGCACCATCTCGCATTGTCACTGTCTTATGCCTTTTCATACCCCTAGGACTGTCACGCGATGTTGTTGCACACCATCTCCGAGTCGCAGCTTCCCTGCATTCTCTCCCACCTTCTCGGGTTGGAACTTCGCGGTCCAATAGGTCCTGACGGTGTCCGAAACCTAACCTAGCGGACCGTCCCGAGCTGGCAATTTTATATTATCGTGCACCGTCACCGTCGACGACGCGTTGGCATGTCCTTCACCACCCACAATACACATCTCAGGCAACCCCCACATTTGCTGCATATGGTTTTATTTTTGGCTTTCAGTATCCTCTATTAATTTTTATCCAATCAGCGCACCGAAAGTCGTGGGTGAGCAAATCAATTCCTCTCTGCAGCCTTCCTAGTTACAACCACTCCACTTGTAATCTTTATTCCAGCGTGCCAACTGCATGCGGCAGTGCCCCATGATGGCAATACATTTGTGAAGTGAATACAACAAGAGAAATGCCCTGTAAGTACCATACTGACATCATTCGCAAACGTTCTCGACACGACGCACCTTCACAGAGCCTCTGCATGCACCCCTGGCACGCCCCCCAGGTCACTTCTCAAACACAAACACCATCTGCATCCCAGGCATCTCGCGACATCCTTCAACTGGATTATAGCGCTGTAATACCTAAGTAGATATACTTATGTTCTTCGTAGGTTCATTGGGTTGGTTGAGATAGGTGAATCAGATAGATGCTTTCTAAATTCTAGACGACAAGTATAAGGTAGTGTACGGACTGATCTTGGGTCATACTATGCATCAGTATTTCGGATCGCGATGATACCAGGCGAATCCAGCCGTCTAGCTAGCAGCTAGCAGGTAACTTACGACGTTTGGATAAGAGTGATACATGTCCTTTTATCAATTATATCATTCAGCGGCGCGCAAGCTGGTGACATTGGAAGGCACGAGATAAATTCAAGTAGAGCGTGAATTTTTAAGTGGATAGCATAGGATGCACGAGACCAGAAAAAGAAAAGTGCGACGATGAAAACAATACTGCAGTCAGGGTGGTATAAAAATATACTTGACGCGAGCGCATTGCCATGTACAACTCCAGAAATTTTCACAAACATCAATATGTCCCAAACTCGGGGCTTTGTGGCTCGCGGCCATTTAAAAGATCGAGGTGCTTGTTGACCTCGTCCCACTGCTCCTCAAATTGACCCCCGATGTCCCATGTCTCGAATGGGTCTCGCTGGTCGCAGACTTGTTCAATACGAGGGAGCATGGAGAAGAGGATGCGAGCAACAGCCTCAGCATCTGCTACAGGAGACCGGGTCAAGTTCAATGATTCTAGGGTGGTATGTTGAAATGACTCGGCTGTAGGATCGATATCGATTCTCACGGCGTCCACTGACATGTCCAAGCTAAGCAAGTTGGGACATTGAGGGAGCGCTGTGAATAGTCCGCGAAATGTGACGGTGGGTACCGTGTCCAGGTCCACTAATTCCAACGAGCGGATGTGTGGCCAACTTTCCATGGCTTCCAAAAGAAGGTCATTATCAAGGTTGAAGCAGCAATGAAAAAAGTCGAGCTGCAGGGTTCGGAGCTGGGTGAAACAAAAGAATTGAGTGATCACTGTGCTCGAGGGCTCCCCAGACGTTAGACCATGGGAGATTATATCAATGCGTTTGAGGCTCTGATTTGCCTTGCACTGGGACAGTGCGCGACAAAGTTGTTCCGCCTCTGCCAAAGGCAAAACGCTGACTTTCATTACAAACTCTTGCAGCGAGGGGAATTCTGAGTGTCGAATGGCTGCGATAGTGTACGCAGCCGTGTTTACATAGAAAAAAAGACCTGTGAGGTTGCAGAAAGATGCGGAGTCGTGGGTGCTCCGACTCAAAGGCCAGTGAGAAGCCCTGCGCGGCTCGCTAATTTTCACTGTGAGGAGGGTGGGGAGGTTGGAAATGTGCTTCCATGCTGCCCAATCGAGAGGTGGGCAAAACAAAGTTGCAAGCTGCTTGCACAAACGGACACTGTTTAACAGCAGGGGCAGGTCATCCGCCACGCCGTCATCAAAGGGCTCGATGGACAAGTGCTCCAAAGCAGCAAAACGGGTCGCGATGTATGTGAAATCGGGATGAATGGCCGATAGGTTGCACCGGCGCAGCGTAGGGGATAGAAAGAGATGTAAGTATCTAGCGTAAGGATGATCGACGATAAAGGATAATGAAAACAGACTCGGGAAGACGCATTTATCGGTGGGAAGATTTGTGAAAAGGTGAAAATGCTTGCTGTTTTCTACACGCAATGAGCGCACACGGGAAGCGTGACGCAAAAATTGACGGGCCTCATGCTCAGATAAAGGTTCAATGTCTTGAGAGGACCAGAGGTACTGCGTTGAGAAGTTAGCGAGTCAGCGAACGAAAGGAATGAACAGGACACGACGAGTCCGCACCGACCATTTTGGAGTTCCGATATATGACTGGATACAGCCTCGTCACGCATCCTAGCAGTGGTTCTATCCTATGCATGTCAGCCCAAAGTAAATCCATTGCGGGCTCGTGAAAGCGTTTGCATGTCCTTGCAAGCGCTGCGAGAGATTTCCAAGCCGATGACTTTGGGTGATATGATGATGGGGGAAATTGATCAACATGCGTGAATATGTTCAGAAGAATTTCACAAACGAACAGAGCTTGATGCATCTGATGCATGGATGTCGACAAGAGATGATGTGTTACATGTCACACCCCAACCACTACTTGATTAGGCTCGGACTCCTGTCTGCAGAACTGGCCGTAATGTATCTTGCTCCGTGCGGGCGACAGTACTATGTTTCACGACGTCAAACCTCAACATCATCGTGCGAACTTGAAGTGCCTGACATTCAAGTCAGAAGGGAGGTTTACTGGCATGACAGTTACAAAGCTACCACTACTACCGAGTGAAGATCGATACCGAACGGAGGGAATTCAGAACGATGGTAGGTCATCGTCATCATCCCCACTACCTTCGTCTGAGTCTTCATCTCCCGGTTCGTCGTCACTAATCTCTTCGTCACTTTCTTCTTCTGCATCGCTGCATCCTGAATAGCATTCTTCGTCACTGTTGCCTTCGCAGTCCATATCTGCCTCGTCGCTCTCACTTATGACGGTTGAGCCAGGAGAATTGAACCCAAGACAGTCTTTGGTTATGTTCCGCTGCATTGCCGGATGGCCAACACCGAGGTGAGTATACCTCATAAACATATCCCGATCGACAAACCTGACTCGGAGATTGAGAATCAATAGTTCATTAAAATAGATATTTGCGCTCACGTGCCAACACAATATACTTCCCAATCATCTAACTCCCCTTCAGGACGCGCGAACGATTTTCCATAGCGAAGGGAGCTAACACCGCGACCTGAAACAAAGGCTGGAATTAAATGCGCGCCTCGAATCACCTGTCCCGGATCGAGAAACCCGACAGCATCCGCGTCCGACTCCTCTACAAAGGCGACCCTTGGGAAGACGTGCATGTTTTGTGCCGGATTTATGGTTCCGCAAGGGAGCCAGCCATCTAACCCATAGAGCCTCTAGGTGCTGCTTAACAGGTTGCCCCCCGTGTTTATCCATGTTTCCATATGAAAGATACCTAACACACGCGCATACCAATACGGGTGGCCCTAGACACATGTTTTATTAGTATTACTGTAGCTAGTACCAGTCAGCTGTTTTTTGCTGTTCTCTGTGTGTGTGTTTAGGACATACTGGTCGATGAGGGGGTGGTTGAACATTGAACGTTTGAAGTCAAAAACAACAGCGGTTTTGCGCATATACTGTGATCTACCTTAGCCAATCTCATTATAGATATAGTATTCCTAATTTGGCAACTCCTCCCAAAAAAATGGTGGATCCCGTTATTCTTGCAAATTGGAATTTTATTTAACTTATTAATGCGGTTTTTGAGTGCACCATACGTACACCTTTAGGTTGGTTACAGTGCAAGAGACCGGGGGTCTGCCAAGTACGTCTACATCTATGTAAGTACATAACCGTAGATATCCTACTACCCACTAGTATAGCCAACATCTTCTGAGAAACAGGAAATAGGAAATAATAAGACTTAATCGCATCGTACGCGTGTTGTTATTACATTTTTATGGTCTTCAGCCAACTCGTGCCCTCTTTGCAGCTCCGCCATCTTCCTCTTCTTCCTCTTCTTCGTCTGCTTCACTGATTTCATCCGCATAACGCTTCAAGCCGCCAGCAGAAGTAGGAGGCTCGTCTTCGTCTTCCTCGAAATACTCGTCGTCGTCCTCGGCGTCCTCATCCTCATCAGCAAGAGCAGCTGAGGCTGACGTGCCATTCTGGAAGAATTGCATGGTTTTTCCATAGAGAAAGAAAATAATGTACACGTACCTCGCCAACCAGTAGCGCCGTCAAACTTGGTTTACTCTGTGCCAATAACTCAACTTTCTGCAAGAGGCGACGAACCAGGACTAAACATACCCTTGATGCGGCACCTCCTTCCTCTCCATCCTCCTCATCGTCTTCTTCAGCTCCAACTGGGTGGGGCGAGCCACCTTGCTCTTCTTCTTCGCCCTGTTGACAGAAAAGGAGGTAAACACAATTGTTGTACGAAGACAACAGCGAGTTTAGATGCACAAAATATAAGCACGAGTCTAGAATTATCGGAAAATATTTTGCAAACCTCAACTTCATATTCGTCACTCTCCTCGCCTTCGTCAACTTCCTCTGGCTCTTCTCCAGGGACCGTAGGCTTCAGTATGGGGTCAGGGGACATTTTCGAGGCTGTAAAAGTATGTGACGCAGAGCCTTAAGGGACTGTGTTCAATGTTGGTTGAATTTCAACCAGCTGTGAAGGAGGAAGCGAGAAAAGGATTAGCGCCGTAGTGACATTAGTAGCGAAATGATGATTCTCACCTCAGGGTAGGTAGCTGACGAACGTTTGGTCCTGTGCTCAACACGTCGCACGCTTAGAAAAGGTCGCCGTCCCAGGGGGATTGCTGTCTTTGGATGAGGCGGGAGGTCACTGAGTGGGGGGGTCGTTCACACCATGCTAAACTTATTATTAACCCTTTATTTCCTCTCTGAAACGTCCGTCTACTATAGGCAGGGTAAGTGAAGCACTGAACATCCGTTGTGTGGTTTATTCTAGTCTCCCAATGGTACATCAAATTTACGCACAATTATTTATGCTAATACCTTGAAAATTTAGGACATTGAGTGACGATTTATCTTGGTTCATTGCGTACTAGTAACCTACTTTCGAATAACTTGAGGACACTACCTGGTCAGTGGTCACTAGCTTAGAATTTGATCAATCTGGTCACTTGGTGTCACTTGGCTTTCAGATCATTGTGGAGAGCCGCTAATGCTGATCTTATCAGCGCCCGCCAAATTCGGAGTATGATCAAGTTATGATCAATCTTCAATCTCGTTATCTGGCAGCTGATATGAAATTGAATTTCTATGATTCGGCAGAGGCAGCAGAACATGGAAACTGATACAAAACAGCTGGGGAGTTTTTATACTTTGACCTGCAAACTTTCCTGTGTATAAGTGCGATCTGGACGCTTCATCTATATGTTGACTTTCGCGCCAACCGCCCGACGATGAAGGAGGCGCGCGGATAATGTTCTATGAATGCGGTAAGTGAACAAGATCAATCTACCGGCCTCTGACGTCAGACGCTTCGTCAGCAATCCGAGATCTGTTAGGAGACACTATCATACAGGGGCTTGAATGGGCTCTCAGTGATTTAAGACAACTGTCTTCCGCAAGACTAACCATCCCTTCAACGTTCAACACTCAGTCAATATGATTCTCAAGATAGTTCGATGGTGTATTTTGAGTGCGTCGTTATTCCACCGCACGTTGGGGACTAGCTCATCTTCATCGCAGCTCTCACTTTCATCCTTGCGATCGTGGTGCTCGGCATAAGTGGCCACCTCATCGCCATCCGACCTACACACTACTGGCGGTTTGCTGCGCTTGCAATCGCAGTCTCTTCCTTGACGATTCTTACATTCCCTGTTATGTGCGTGTTCTTTTCGATTGACCGAGCTAGCACTGATTTATGGTCGCAAAATTTAGTCTGATAGTTAATACTTTGCTGGTTCGTGATGAAAATATTTCATCAGAACGGATCATAGGCGAGGCTGGCTGGCTGGGTATGTACCTCCTAACCCTCAGATATCTTGATGATTATTTACGGCTTTGTTTGTTTCTCAAGCTATCATGTGGATTCTGTGGCTCGCAACTGGAGCCAATGCCACTCATGCGGCTCGAGCACACTTCTTTTCTGGTGGTTGTAGTTTCTGTAAGTGCCATATTTCTCGAACAGGGGCGCTTTCTTATCATTTTATCTTCACCTTAACTTCTCCAGTCTCTGGCTATTCCAATAAGATCTGCAATGAGTTCAGGGTCGTGGAGGCTTTCTCCTACATCATCTTCATCATTCGTGCGTCTTTTCCTTTTTCATTTTTTGTGTGTCTAAAGGGATATTTCCAGTGCTCAGCTACACGATCGGGCTAATGGTGTTTGAGTTCACTCGCGACGATCGGGATGGTCACACCCAAGCAGGAGGTGTTGAAGGCGGCCGTGGGAGTCAAACCGCACAGGTAACAAAAGCTCCTGCGACCTCAGGTTAGCAGCAGTGTTTTGCTACATCAGTTCATGCAACCGATGCTGCGCGTGATCAACGGCTGTCACAAGGTGAATCGCCGAATGTTAAGTCCTCCAAGCCTAATGTGTAGGAAATTGGATTGCAACGTAGTTTCCACTTACGTTCTGAAAACTATCACTGCCTAATTTTGTATGCGTAATTATTGTTCAATTGCACTTTTGCATCAAGTAGCCTGCTTCCTTGACCAGTCCGTCGCTGTAAAAGTCCACTTGAGTTACTGAGTATTGTTCCCGTTCTTCTCGAATTGCCGTGAGTGAGATATCTTAGATTTTGGAGATCCTCGTGACACCGCGACTAGATGTAGCACTATGCCGAAATCCTCAAGCTAACGGCTTTCGGTGGTGCTGATACCAATAAGGGCAGTACCAAACAGGTGTCAAGTTACGCGGGGCTATCTGCCGCATAAGCCACCAACCTCCACCAACTTCAGATTCGTTGGAAGTATTTCTTCTCAAGATTTCAAATTTGACCATCTGAAGTTCTCTCGTCTTGTCAGCCAAACCTGGAAATCCTAGTGTGAGATACTTGAGTTATCTGAATGAAGCTTTTACACCTCCGACTGCTCATCGCGGAGATGGCCAACGCTAACATTTTTCTGCTTCTAGCACGCATAACCGAGGGTTGCAGTGCGCCGCTGATCTGAAAGACAGCCTCGTGCTTGCCACGCCTGTCGATCAACGTATCTAGCACTTACTTGAAGGGACATGCTAATCTAGCCGAGTCGTACGATTCTGAGGGAATGCCGCAACGGGGCACAATTTGATTAGAAAGCAGTCTTTACTCATTCTGCCATGGCAGGACACTGCTTTCTGCCTCGCGTTGCATGTATTGCCAGGCTGACCTATCGTCTGTATAACAATATACGGGAAAATGGGACCTCTGCGAGTCTGCGATGGATCACGGTGACCCGACTTTCTCCATGGTCGAACTACCTGCGTTGCACGTTTCTAAATTCTGACGGATCGCTCCGTGATGACTCTTCTTATTGAACACGTTTATGCTATCCAGCCACAGGCATTCTTGTCTCGTCTTATACATTGATAGAACATCTACGACTATCATGGAAGCATACGCGCATTGCGTTCGCGTCTGTTTTTATACCGCCTAGTGTTTTTTTGAACCACCGAGCTTTATTAGGTGCGTGTCAAGTCTTTTCTATGCTGAGCACTGAGTGCTGATTGGACGAGTGGTTCCCCTTGCACGCACAGCACGTCACGGCGTGCTATAGCGACTGCTTTCGTATCACTGCGTTATCAGCTACGATTGAGCTATTGGTTGCGTGGGTCGGTATCTGTGCTGCGCGGTAACATACAACTCAGATCGCATTCTAGTGCTAGGTCCGAGGCGCTGAAATTGCAGTGACGCTTTTAGCAGTCTATCGCCGACGGCTTGCACGGCAGTTCATCAGTGTAATATTTTGACATGAGCATGATCTACGAGCCTAGAATGAGCCATGAGTTAGATGCCTCGCGATATTGCCCAGGAGTTCGATTGTTCAACGATATGTCCTGTGCCACACAGATCAGATCCTGCTCGTGCGGGGTAAGTTATCAACTAGCCCTATTTCATGCAAGTACTGATCACGTACATGTGAATGGCTTTAGATGGGTCTTGTGACCTGTGTAGCAAGAGCTGTGTGTTTCGCACAGCAACAACGGCACCACGACAGAATATGCCCGATGTGAATATGATACTAATTTGTAATATCACAGTTCGGTCTCATCCGTTGCACTTGAGCGAGTGAGCTGGAAGGGGAACAGGATTGCTGGCTATTGGCGTTCGCAAACATCCGTGATTCTGTTATCTCTAAGGTGATTATGGCGTCCGGTATCTATTTCTTGAGGTTCCCAGCCAGTTCGAATGGGCCTGGAGACGAGTGTGGTTCACTTCTATGGGTGGTCCTGTTCTGGCGTTGCACTTGCTCTGAGGCTTTATAATAATTCAGGAAAGGTTCTAGGAAGCAATACAATATATAACAAGAATAGATGGAAGAAACGGAGAAGGGGAGACAAAACGGAGAGATGTTTTTCGAGTTACGGCAGGCCTTCGAGCATTAATTGTGACAAAGCAAAACCAGACAACCAACTTGAACGAGCCCATCAACCAAGTGAACTAAACTAACTCCAGCTACCAAATCCTTTTTTCACTCAAAGTCAATCATATTCATTGACTCAGTCTTTCATTAATACTTTATAATCCTGCTTTTCTTATACTCTCACAAGTGCGGTTATTTGCGTTTCTTGGCCTAGGCAGCTTGCGGTTGAATCATACCGTGTCGCTGCACAGCTCTTAGCAGCAGCCTCGAGGCAGAAATCTGAACTCAGTTTGTTCATATCTGGCAGCTTTTCAACCGTAACCTTGATCAAGGTCCCGCAGTATTAACTGCCAGTAATCTCTGTCAAGTCAGTACCAAAATCATTGATTGTCAGTACCTGGACGGCATCGTTCACCGTTTAAAACGCATCTTTCATTTCCCCCGTGGTCTCCTCGTGGCCTTTCACGCCAACGCCGCGCGACGATTACCCATAATATCTCCCGCCCTAATTAATCGATTTCTCAATTGTCACAGAATCCAAATTCCTTTGTCGTCTGCTCTTCTCTCTTGCACCTTCACTCCCACATACTCCCCGTTCACCGGAAGTCACATACCCAACCCACAACCTCCCTTTCCGATTCATCTAGGACTTTAGAGAGACGGCTTGCTTATCCCTTTTCTCGTAAACCTCGCCAATTTTTATTCCCGCGGATGCCTGGTGTAGCCGCCACCTTTCATCAGCGCGGTGCTTCAAAGAAAAACTTCAAATCCGTCCTTGGCTTCGGGTCTTTCAACCGAAGCCGTTCTTCCGTTGACTCTTACCTTCCCCGTCAACCTACAAGTAGAGTCAGCATCGATACCACAAGAAGTTTTCAATACAAGCGCAAATCCCGCCAAGAACGTGCAAGTGCAACCGACGTCTCCTCTGATTCACTCTCAAGTTCCCCCCACGCACATCAGGAGCAGAGTCAGAACCATAAACACGACCCCAATAACTCCGTCCGCAGTATGAAGTCCATAGACGCCGCTCATACCCGTCCTGCTAGAAGACCACCGGTCAGGATTGATGCTCAGGAAGGTCCCTGGAGCGTCAGCGTCGCTGAGACTCCACATGATGCACACTCATATAGCATTTACATAAAGAGTGAGTCACACATTTTTCGCTCCACTCTTTCTCCACCATGTTGGTTTGACGAGTTTGTTTACTCCCTACGCATTTGGGTTTCCGTTTGGCTTCCGAGGTAGCCGGGTTGCCATTCTGTGCGCAATCAACAGCGCCATGTGATTGCCGTCCAGGGTTTTATGTCCTGAGGCCCCGTTAATTCCCGCAACATGTCTTTGACAAACGAACCTGCTAATGATATTCCTTCTTCCGCAGCTTCCACGCACAACCTCACCCTGACCCGCACTGCCACAGAGGTCGTCGAGTTGCACGTCAAGCTTGCAGACTCCGTCCCAGGCACCAGACTTCCGAAGTTGCCCATAGACTTGGCGGCCCAGCCCATCAAGCGGAATATCTTCCTCAACACGCTGTCCCGCCTTGCCTCACCAAGCAACAAAGTAGCGCGTACGGTATCTACACGCATCGCCAGCGCCAGTTCCATCACTCCCATCGTTTCACCCACGCACGAGATTGGCGACCCTTTTACAGAGCCGGGCACCACAGGTTCAGGGACCAACGTAGTCACGAGCCTTGCTGCATATCTTACCACCATCTCAAATGAGCCAACGTTCCGACAGGCCCGCGCATGGAAGCGTTTTGTACGTGTGCGCACCGATGACCTCGAGAGCGTGCGTGTAGAGCGCGCAATCAAGCGTGTACGCTCTGATCTGGCAGCGCATGGGAGCTCTAAAGTTACCACAAATGTCAGTTCGGCCAGCGTCAACGAAATCGAGGTAGATGGTATCAATGGTGCTGCGAGTGAAGTCAATCTGAACGATTTCGCTGTCGGTGACTTGAGAGAGGAGGGGATTAAAGAGGAAGAAGAAGACGCTGAGTCTACTCCTGTTGAGGTGGAGGGTCTAGCTCCTGTTGCGGATGAGGCTCCTCTTACTGAAGCGCCTGAGGACATCGTCGTTGTGGATGAAGCGGTTCCTGAACCCATAGAGGCAGAACTTACGGGTCCTAACGCAACCGATGAGGAAGAGACAGTTGTCTCTACTCCTGTTGCAGAGGTCCAAGCTTCCCGGATACTTCGCTCCCACTCTGCCGATCCCGATAAAGCCAGTCGTTTGTCGCGAGTATACACGTCCTCGACACTGCAGGATGGCACAAGTTCCCAGACGGGCGATGACTCTTCGATCAGCACCAACACTGGGCGGCGCAAGAAACGCACCAAGTCGGCTGACCCGAACAAGGGACCCAAGAAGCGCTCAAAGCGCAAAGTTGTCATTGATGACTTTGAGATGATGCGTGTCCTTGGAAAGGGGTGTGCAGGCAAGGTCTTACTTGTGAGACACAAGACGAGCTCGGATCTGTATGCCCTGAAGGCAATCACGAAGCGTCATGTGTTGGCGCACCAGGAGTTGCAGCATACGTTGACCGAACAAGCCGTGCTCAAACGGATGGCAGCAGAGTCGAAAGACCCATTCGTTGTTAAGCTGTGGTGGAGTTTTCATGATAAGGAGAATCTATTTTTAGTCATGGTATGCTTCTTCACACAAGTGCACAATACGCACGTTAATGGCGTTTTCTCCTAGGACTTCCATCCAGGCGGTGACCTTGCCACGCAGCTTGCGCGTTGGGGTAGGCTAGGTCGGGACCGTGCCCGATTTTACGCCGCGGAGATAGTCGAGGGTGTCGAGGGCCTACATGCAGCCGGCGTCATCTACCGCGATCTCAAACCTGAAAACATCCTTATTGGTGCAGACGGGCACATCGTACTGACAGACTTTGGCCTCTCAAAAGAGTTCCCACGCCGTGTAGCCGCAACGACCGCCCCTCCTACCCCCACACGGGGCGAGTTCTATTCAGCTCCGGGCATTGAGCCTGCGACGCCGCCCTGGATGAAGGTCGAGAAGAGCCAGGACCTTGTAATGGGATGGCATGGGCAGACTGTTGGCCCTATGGACACGACGACGACTTTTTGTGGCACAGCAGAGTATTTGGCTCCAGAGGTGATCCAGGGACTGCCATACAGTTACGAGGTTGACTGGTGGAGTTTTGGCACCATGCTTTATGAGATGTTGACGGGAATTGTAAGTGTCCTGGCTTTAAGCTCCAACGGTTGCTTAGATGCGTAACAGACGCCATTCTGGGCGAATAACCACTCCGACATGTATGTCAGAGTCCTGCAGGACGAGCTGCAATTCCCTGAGGACAGAGCGATTGACCAAGATACTAAGAGCTTGATTAGAGGGGTGGGTGATACTTTTTGTCTATGATCGCAAGTCATTTATAGTCGCCCCCACATAGCTCTTGCAACGAAATCCTGCACTTAGGATGTGCGAGCCGCGGATCAAGCGGCACCCGTACTTCTCCATGATGTGAGTTTATCACGTGGCCAACTTTCCTGATCACTGATCCCTGATTTCCTCCCCTTCAGTGACTGGTCGCACGTGTATTACAAGCGCTATATACGTGAGGCATATTTGCTACTGCAATAGCTAGATATGATGTGCTTACTTGGCGTTGTCCCTCTAGCCCCCTATATCCCACCTATTGACCCATCCAATGCCAGTGATACCCAGAACTTCGACGACACATTCCTGGATATGGAACCAGTGATTGACGACCCGAATGATCAGGAACAGACTGATACAGACCGTGACCAAACGGACGCTGAGCCTACAGATGGGGAAGGCGAGGATTCAAATACGACGCCCTCGCATTCCCGTAGCCCATCAGTGCACCCAATTGACGAGAGCGTCGATGTCTTTGACGGGTACTCGTTCAAGGGCCGGCATTCTGTTATCCTGGATGACGACGACGACGATGACGCATCTGGAGAATCTGAACGGGAAGAGACTGATGAGGAAGAGATACCAGAGATTCTTGCAAATACTGCGGAAACCCAGCTGCAACCGGAGGTCGAGGAGGCGTCACCTGTTCTTAATGAAGCGACTCCAGAACCAAAGACTCCTGAAGCGAGACCACAAGTTCTACCAGAGGAGCAGCCTGCCGAGATCATCGCTCAGCCGCAAGAGGACACTGCAACAGCAATTGAGGAACCTGCAACGCTAGTTGAGCCTATCGCACCCTTAGAGCCGACATCTTCTCCTCTCAAAGAATCACCATTGCCAACTACTCCCACGTCGCCACCTCAGGAGATTGTGCCTATTCCACCAGCCAAGGATGTCAAGCCAAAGGTCACGAAGCCAGCCGCCTCTCGGCCGAGCGCCCATCGTGGAACGCGAAATCGCCGAGAGAAATCTGGTGTCCCTGCGCTTGACCGCTTCCTTTCCGATGGCCCTGATGAGGAAGAATGTACGGAGAAGGAAGAGGATGAGGACTGGGACTTTATTGAAGCTGGAGATGGTGAGGACCGCAATGGCACCAAGGGCACAAGCTTGTTTGCTCGGGGTGTCGTCGACCGATACCGGTTGGCCGTATTCCGCAAAGCATCGACCCCTTCGCAACGGATGGGTGGACGCTCATTTTCTGGCATGTCCAAAGAGTCTGACGTTCGCGGTACCGACCCGGCAGAGTCACCTAGTCCATCAGAGAAGCACCGTCGCGGACGTACACCTGCGTTGAAGTTCCGAAAAGCGCCCAGACAGTTCCTCCGTGCAAAGTCTCCGCCATCATCATTTTCCGCCAAGTCAGGTTCTACTGCGAAAACCCTCACTCCTTCCACATCTGCCACGCTATCATCGGCATCAAGCGGTGGCCTTCTATCGCCTTCCGTTTCGGGCACGAGTTCAACAGCAATGTGCCCATCGCTCAAATCGAAAGAATCAGCGACTTCAGTCGGCGAAAGTCTATCGTCGGATCAGTCAAACGGTGATACGATACCAGAAACCCCCCTTTCACCTGAATCGACGAGGAGAGCCCCGGCCGCTCACACCGAGGAGCCCGAAAAGCTTAAGAACAAAAAGCTCAAGAAGTACAAAGAAGGAGCAGAAAAAATGCTGTCTCTCTTTGCTTCTCCTCGTCAATGATCATGATCCAGTTGACCGCAGGACCGGTCCCTCTTCTCCTCTGCTGCTACCGCATTTTCGCCAACTCAAAGTCAAACAATAATCTTGTATCCTTCATCTCAAGACTCATTATGCATCGCCTCACAATTACTTACTAGCACTTTCCTTTTTTCATTGTCCTTTTTATATCATTCATCGAGGATGGGTCGCGAACTAGAATCGCGACCGGTTTTTTGCTCCATTACATATGGACTGGGTGCTCGTTTTATGTTTCTTAATTGATTGCGTCCTTCTGTCGTTACTTGCATTACTGTTTTGCTCAGGATTTCAATCGTATTGCATCCCAATAATCGGTCGGTTTGCTACAAGTTTGCTATTGACATTTTTTCAAAGGCGTCATTTTCAATACCCTTGGACGCTTGTACACAATACCAACCTGAAGTGACAAATTACCCGTAATCGATCAACTTCTGCGAGACGTGTCACGATGTACATTTAGCCTGAATCTTTGATCAGACTCATAGACATCAAATGGGCGTATGGCCTTCGATTGGCCGTAGCAATTTTGTCGCCACCAGCAGGAATTCAAACGTTCACGGAGGTATATGAATTTTGAATTGCATGGCGTCTAGTGGTCAACAAACTGACAAATAGACATGGTACCACCATGGTGGCCTCTGTACCGTAATAAAGTTGCCGGAACACACAATGTCTGCATGTATCCAACCTTCCCATGAGAAACAAGCGGCCTGGACCCCGGTCATCATTCATCATCCTATTGTTAAGTATGAAGAATATCAGCAATTTATTGGGTAGCGAAATAACTTAAATTAGGTACCATGGGACTAATAGACTCCGTGTCGGAGTCGGCGACTGTTGACCCTGGGAGATACAAAGGCTAGAAACTTATAAGTTGGTGCTACCACAGAAGGTAGAAGAGACAGCTCACTCGGGGTTCTGCTCTCAAATAGGCTACGACGCCCCCAGGAAGGCTGCTTGGGAGTGGAATCTCCAGCAAGAGGCTTGCTAAATCTTGCCAATTGTGTCGGTCGTAAACTCCCCCCAACTTATATGGTATGAGGGCGGTCTTCGTGTCATCGGATGACCGTTGAAGCGTTAAACCAACTATGGACCGATCAGTAGCCCGAGAACAACTACTGGTGATGAGATCGAAGTCATCTAGAAGACTGCAGCAAACTAGCTTTACATGGTTTGGGAGAGAAATTAAGATACGCTTGTCGCGTTTACTAGCCTGAGAAGACGGCTGCACAACAGATGTCATGATGGTCGTGGAGAGACGGGCGAGTAGGCAGTGGCGCTAGCGAGTACTTAGCGTCGGCTGCGCGACCTGAACAAAGGTTTCATTTTCCGATGGCTCGTGGTATGCTGCAACCGAGGATGACTACAATGGACCCCCTACCGGGACCGGGGCCAGAGCCATAGACTAGACGCAGTCCTTTGTCGAGTCATCCACCTGGATCTTTTTCGTCTTCCCTCACCAAGTTGATTGGCAGTGTAGGCCTGCAATGCTTTCACTGCAACCTACCCAAATGTCTATTTTAGACAGACGGAGAAATAGAATACTACAAACGAACTTGATCGGAGACTGATCTATGTAACATGTGCATTTCCAGATCTCCCAAAACCCGCCCGGAGCAGCGGGGTAGTCTTCGTCCTTGGTGACATACCCCGTGAGGTTTTGGAGCATCACTTCAAGCGGAGAATCGCCAAGCTCGTTACGAAGTTAACGGAGAGAACTGTGTCCGTATTAGAAGAAACAAAGGAGTGATAGAGGTCGCGGTGGTGGGAGAGTAAATAAGGTAGCCATGAGCCAATGGTACTAGTAGGAGAATGTCTCCGCGGTGGAGGAGGAAGAGTTACGGTAGTACTGTTCAACTGAAGAGATCTGGCGCAAGTGCTTCATGCAGGAGGTGACATAAAACAGGAGCGCGCGCAATTGAACTACACGCATCAGAATGATATGACTCGGTCTGCCACTTTCAAGTCATCCTCGGTCGTAAGGCTAGCAGATTAGCATCAGTTTCAGATTCCTGACTCGGGCCCGAGTCCCCAGCTTGCATGCATTCTTCTGGCCTCCGGCACCATTAAAATTTTTCATTTGGTGGTGAATCCCAACGGTTTTGGTCAGTCTGTCGAGAATCTAGGTTGGCACGTACACACCTCGGGGATATATCTTATGTTTCTGAGATGACCCTTGCGGCATGAAGGGGATTCCTTTTTTCATGGACAGACTATCACATAAAAAAGGAGGTTTTGGCGCAACGACTGGGCCTAGTTAAGATGGACCCCCGAGAATCTATGCTCCCAAAAATGTTGCCAGCAGGTTTCGAACCAACTCCAAGAGAAACAGATTTTGACTCTGTTGCGGTAATAACTTGGCTAAGACCAGTTGGATGTATCTCCGAGGAAACCATCCATGAGTCAATGTCAAGGTGTGTTCCGATAGAAAAAAATCGTCGTTCGGCAAGTTTTGAACTTGCACAGTCCAAGGGAAACAGATTTTGACTCCGTTGCTAACTATTTGGCTAAGAACAGTTAGATGGATCTCGGAGGAAGCCATCCATGAGTGAATGTCAAGGTGTGTTCCGGGAAAAAAATTGTCGGAGGGAGGTTTCAAACCTACGCAGTCCAAGAGAAACAAAATTTGATTCTGTTACGGTAACCACTTGGGTAAGACCAGTTGGATGGAACTCCGAGGAAACCATCCATGAGTCAATGTCAAGGTGTTTTCAGAAAAAAAACCGTTATTCGGCAGGTTTTGAACCTGCACAGTCCAAGAGAAACAGATTTTGACTCCGTTGCGGTAACCACTTGGCTAAGGCCAGTTAGATGGACCTCGGAGGAACCCATCCATGAGTGAATGCCAAGGTGTGTTCCGGAAAAAAAATTGTCGGAGGGAGGTTTCAAACCTACGCAATCCAAGAGAAACAAATTTTGATTCTGTGGTGGTAACCACATGGGTGAGACCTGTTGAGATGAACATCTAACGAAACCATACATGAGTGAATGTCAGGATTGTTCCGATAGGGAAAAAACCCTTGTTGTCGATTCGACAGATTTTGATTCTGTTGTGGTGATCTGGCCAAGACCAGTTAAAATGGACCTCCAACGAAACCATGAGTGAATCTTGGTGCATTCCGATAGGGAAAAACCTTATGATCGGCAGGTTTCGAACCTGCACGGCACAGTCCAAGAGACAGATTTAAATTCTGTTGCAGTAGTTGTACTACTTCGGCCAGGACGCAGTTGAGAGGGCCCTCTGAGGAGACCATTCACGAGGGAATCGTCAAGGTGTGTTCAGAAAAAAAAATGCCGATCGGCAGGTTTGGAACCTACACAGTCCAAGGGAAACAGATTTTGATTCTGTTGTGACAACCACTTGACTAAGACAAGTTAATATGTCCCCCAACGAAACCATCCATGAGTGAGTGTCAAGGTGCGTTCCGATAGAAAAAAACCTTGTCACATTAGCAGGTTTCGAACCTGCGCAGTCCAAGAGAAATAGATTTGAATTCTACTTTGTCGATCGGCAGGTTTTGAACCTACACAGTCCAAGCGAAACAGATTTTGATTCCGTTGTGGTAACCACTTGACCAAGACCAGTTAATATGCTCCTGCAACGAAGCCATCCATGAGTGAATGTCAAGGTGCATTCCGATGGAAAAAAAACCGCCATTCGGCAGGTTTTGAACCTGCACAGTCCAAGAGAAACAGATTTTGACTCCGTTGCGGTAACCACTTGGCTAAGACTAGTTAGATTAACCTCGGAGGAAGTCATCCATGAGTGAATGTCAAGGTGTGTTCCGGGAAAAGTCTTGTCGGACTGTGTTGTGGTAACCAGTGCACTTCGGCCAGGAGGCTTCCCCCGTCTGAGATGAACCTCCGACTCGGAAGAACTGGTCAAGGTGAGGGAAAATCATATTTCAAATCTGCAACACCTAAGAGAGCAGATTTCTAATCTGCCAGTTGGCTATGATAAGATAGACCTTGAAGGATCCGCCCATGAGTGAATATTTGAATGTTCAAGGCGTGGTAAGACGAAAAAGATTGTGGGCAGGTTTCGAACCTTGTCAACAGATTTCTATTCTGTCACACTTTCCACTTGCCTACGTACTACGCAGTCCAAGAGAAACAGATTTTGATTCTGTTGCGGTAACCACTTGGCTAAGACCAGTTGGATGAACCTGCGAGGAAAGCATCCATGAGTCAATGTCAATGTGTGTTCCGATAGAAAAAAACCGTCATTCGGCAGGTTTTGAACCTACGCAGTCCAGATTTTGATTCTGTTATGGTAACCACTTGGCTAAGTCCGGTTATGATAAGTTGTCGAGGAAACCATCCATGCATGAATGTCAAGGTGTTCCGGAAAAAAAAAATTGTCGGGGGAAGGGTTCAAACCTACGCAGTCCAAGAAAAACAGATTTTGATTCTGTTATGGTAACTACTTGGCTCAGACCTCTTACAATAAACATCTAACGAAACCATGCATGGGTGAATGTCAGGTGTGTTCTGATATGGAAAAAAACCTTGTCGTCGGTTCGACAGATTTTGATTCTGTTGTGGTAACCACCTGGCTAAGACCAGTTGAGATGGATCTTCAAGGCGCATTCCGATAGAAAAAAATCTTACGATCGACAGGTTTCGAACCTGCACGGCACAGTCTAAGAGACAGATTTAGATTCTGTTGTGGTAGTTGAACTACTTCGGCCAGGACGAAGGTGGCATGAACGTCTGAGGAAACTATCCATGAGGGAATCTTCAAGGCATATTTAGCAGATCCAGAGACACAATCGGTAATACACCTAGTATTTCAAATTGACTTGTATCCTTCTAAGTACTACTTACATTCCTCCTTGTAACTGGTTCTGCATCAAGGCATCCAGCACAGCAGTTTTCCTTCGTACAATATGCCGTGAGGCACGGGGACCTCAGGCATCAGGTTCAGGCGTCCAAGTTCTACGAGGAAGCTGCGGACATCATATGACAATGTGATAAAATTT